TCAGGTCATGATCCCAGGGTCCTGGGTTCCAGCCCTGCATCAGGATCCTTGCTCAACGGGGAGTCTGCTTCTTCTCCCTCCCCCTCTGCCTGCCGCTCCCCATGCTTGTGCTCTCTCTCTGACAAATAAAGTCTTCCAAAAAATGATATATTTAGGATAAATAGAAGAAGTACACCCAAATTCCAACGTATAGTTTGTGGCTCCGAATACTTTGGTAAGTTGTTTGAACTTACTCCACACTTTTACATAGGCAGTTTTATAAATGATGGAGCGGGTATTGGGCCAACTCATAGCAGCCCATTTAATCCCTACAGTAGACTACTGGTAGCCTTAGTGGTGCTACCACAGAACTCCTAGCTACTCTTGGTGATTCAGAGTGCCATCCTCCAGCATCTGGTCCTCTTGAACTAAATGTCCCCCAAGGTGATCTCAACCATCTCCATTGGTTGAACCATCATTCACAAGTGACTCCAAGATCTGTATCTCTACTTATCAATCCTCTTGAAAGCTCCCGGTTGTTATGACACATTGGGCTGTTGCCTGGACATTCCCACTTGGAACACCCCCCACACTTACAATTCAACATCCTCCAAACTAAACTCATTGTATCCCCTCCTTCCCTTACTTTCTTACACTTGCTCCTTTTCTTGTTCACTTGTTCACCATGGTTAGAGTCTTGCAGTGGCCTTACAGCCCACCCCCACTTCATGATGCTATTGCATTCGAAGATGCTATTTCTGTCTCGAATCAGCCTCCCTCTGATCCCAGGGCCAGAAAAACTCCTCCTCTCGGAAGACCTAGCCGAAGTCTTCTCTCTCCTGTGAAGACTCACTGACCTCCTTGATTTCCACAACCCAAGAACAAGCTGTGTTGCCTTATCTATTCAGTTAAAAGTGCTCCTGTAAAATGAGATCCATTCTCGGATGTGCACTTCCCTTGTGGTGCTCTGTTTGTGACTTACCTGTCCACCTTTGCAGGCCAGGATGGTGTTATTCTGCACGTCATGTCTTAGAGCCTTGCACAGTGCCCAGACAGGAGAAATAGTAGTGTCTATTGTGGTAGACACTGGACTTGGAGTCAGATGACCTAGGAAGCAAGTCTTAAACTTTTCTTGGTACTCCTTTTGCTATCTAGTAGGATTCTGGGGGCATATCTAAGTTCTCATCACAGAAAATTATATAAATCTTCATCTTCTAAACTCAATGTAAAACCATCCTTCTGTGGAATTATCTCCTGATCATTTAACGACTTAAAATGAGGAATCTTCATTAGATCTCTGAGGGGAGCAAAGAGAAGATAGGATTCTTCTAACGGGTGGAGCCGTGGAGTTCATATTTCAAGGTTTTCTGTTATCCTACAGGTTGAGTCATATTTCCTAGCACAAGCTCTAATTCTATGCTCTTAATTGCTATTGAGCTATTTTTTCTACTTCTCTTTTATTTCTGTTGTGTGCTTTGTTTCAGTTGGATCCTTAGAGAGTGAAAGAAAATTAAGCATGGTATCTAAACCATTTGATTAATACTGCATCTTATAGAGGAAAGAAGGATGTTTCCTGGGTTTGTTTTTTTTTAATAATACCAAGTAGAAATTTTATTTCTAGATGGCATCACTGGATCTGCAACTCATTTTCAGAGGATGTAAGCAACAGCTGTTGTTGGTCTTACACTCCTGAAAGTGCTTTAATACTTTTTTTTTTAAATTTTTTCTTTTTTTCTTTTTTTTAAGTTTATTTGACAGACAGATCACAAGTAGGCAGAGAGGCAGGCAGAGAGAGAGACAAGAGGAGGAGGCAGGCTCCCTGCTGAGCAGAGAGCCCGATGCGGGACTCGATCCCAGGACCCTGAGATCATGACCTGAGCCGAAGGCAGAGGCTTTAACCACTGAGCCACCCAGGCGCCCCAATACTTTTTTTTTTAAATTGTGACTTGAGGTCATTAGTTTTGAGCACCAGAAAAAAGTTGTCTTTTCTTATATTAATTTTGTGCTCATTTCTATTTTACAAAGTTAGTACAACAGTAAAGACAAATTCTAGCAATTACTTGCAGGCGGTGGAATCAAGGAGGTCTGTGGTGTTTGAAGTATGATGATCATATTTCTCTGGGGAAGAGTTATATACAGTCAAGTAAACAAGTTGGATCTAAATGTAAAAGTCAGATCTCAGCCAACCAGAAATCAATGGCTTACCAGTAATAAAATCTAATTTAAATTGTGTGAGGAAGGTGACCTAGCACACATTGCTGGCAGAAATGCAAGATGGTACAACCTCTATGGTAGAGAATTTGGCCATGTTTAGTAGAACTACATATACACTTACTCCCAGTAACTCCAACATCTAGGAATTTACTCTTGAAGATGTAGGTCTAAAAATGTCCAAACACTAACATGCAAGATGAGCATTACTGCATTATTCATGTAATTGTAAATGTTGTAGCTACTTGAATAGCCAAATATGAGAGAATGATAGTGTAAACTATGGTATTTAAACTCAATGGAATACTATGTAGCTATGAAAAAGAGGATCTTTGTAAAATGACATGGAGTGATTTCCAGCACAGATTATTCGGGGGTTGGTGGGGGGGGGGGTAATGCACACACACACACACTTTTTGTGTTAAGAAATAAGGGAAAATGAAAAAAATACACAAAACTGCTTTTTTAGGAAAAAGAAATGCAGAAAGGTTAAACAAGAATGGAATTGTTTACCTACAGTTGGTAGAACAGAAAGGAGTCAAAGGGATAGGGAAGGGAGAAAGATTTGAGTACACATTTTAAATGGTTAGACATCTGGAAGCATGTACATGTTTTATATATAAAAAAAAAAATTAAATCCTGGACTAGAGGGAAAAACATGCTATATAAGGAAAATTATTGGGACTGACAACATTGAAATATGGACTATAAAGTATTAAAAAATGAGAATTTTAAAAATTAAATTATTGAATGAATTTTAAATTTTCTAAAAGTCTAACTGTACTGATGTCATATAAGACAATACCCTTATTCCTAGGGTATATACAGTTAAGTATTAGGGGTAAAGGTGCATTACTCCTTGAAACCTCTCAAGACTGAAAAAATTTTTTATATGTGGGTGCATATTCACATGTACGTATGAATGTGTATGTAATATACACATACATGATTTTTTAAATGACAAAAACTTAAAAGTTAGTATATCTGAGTAAAAGATAAAAATAACTTCTCTATTATTCTAGTAAATCTTTCACAAAATTCAGTATTATTTCAAAATAAAAATTTTAAAAAAATGATGTAGGGGTCCCTGGGTGGCTTAGGTAGTTGTGTCTGCCTTCAGCTCAGGTCATGATCTCAGGGTCCTGCTCAGCAGGGAGTCTGCTTCTCCCTCTCCCTCTGCTTCTCCTCCACCCTGCTTGTGTTCTAATACAAAAAAATGTTTTAAAAAATTAAAAAACAAAACGAAACATGGCCTAGCTTTAAACCACTACTAAAAACCTCTGTATTGAGATTGGGGTGATAAACCCCAGGGGCTTCTGTCTACGATGGATGGATAGATGGATTGACTGAGTTCAGTATTTATAGAAAAACATTTTAATAATGTAAAATGGATACCTTCATTTAGTGCATCCTATTTACAGTCTGTCAAAGGACCAACAGAAATGCAGTTGTGCCTCCCACCCTATGAAGCAACAACTTTTTGCCTTTGGCAACTTGCTCCAAGTCCAGATACACCATGTAATCTATTTGAATGCACTAATAGGTAGACTGGAATTAAATCTGTAGCTTGCAGTTGAGCAAATACTGGTTTTTAAACACAATAGACACGGAACCTCTGAAACCAAACAGGAGACCTAATCAAGGGTACTTACTGCGGTAGTGCTGGTAGCTCCATGTAAATCACTGGACGCAGAGGGGCAGGAAGCAGCAGAACGTGGCCTAGCTCAACCAGCCTGACACCCGCTGCGCCTGTTTCTTAAATTAATCCACTATCATGTGCCATCACTAGCGAAGAGCCCTTTGAAAATCACTTTACCGCTTCTGATGGCAAGGCACACAGATGAAACATTCCTGCATCTGACTCAAAGGGAGTGGTAACCTTTCAATGATGGCCTGAAAAGCAGTAGTTATCCCTCAGAACAGACAATGGTGGCTTGACCAAGAGAGGTGATAAAGCGGCTGTGGAAACATCAGGATGTCAAGTACCAAGCTGAAAATACACCTTGAGATAGGGACTCAAAATGTGACTACGTAACTAGGGGTTCTAATTCAATTTTGGTCAGTAATCATGCTAAAGTAATCGGAGAAATGTGTACCCAATTGTTGGGAGTTAAGTCTGGAGAAGATTACAGGGAAATATACATATTTTTAATATATGCTCTGTTTGAATTTTAAAGAATAAATATTCACTGCCTTTATAATTTAAAAACAGCTAAAACCAGCTCTAGTGAATAGTCACAGTCAAGATACACAAATGTGCCGGCAATAGCAAGCTATGTTAACTGGCTTTACAGAGCTCAAACTAACATTCTAGTGTCTTCAGACCTAGCTAATAAACAATGAGTTAAAAAAAGTATTAAAAGGGATAAGCAAATAACAAAATGCAGTCATTTTTCATTCAAGAATATGGAAGCTTGGGGCGCCTGAGTGGCTCAGTGGGTTAAAGCCTCTGCCTTCGGCTCAGGTCATGATCCCAGGGTCCTGGGATCGAGCCCTGCATTGCATCGGGCTCTCTGCTCGGCGGGGAGCCTGCTTCCTCCTCTCTCTGCCTCTCTGCCTACTTGTGATCTCTGTGTGTCAAAAAAAAAAAAAAAGAAGAATATGGAAGCTCTTTGGACTTAAAACACAAACCTTTATTCTACAAATCTTTTACAATAATTTTAATGGAAATAAGCCTTAAAAAAGCTACAGAACACCATGATTTAAATGTATGATAGATTTTAAAAGTCAGATTACATTAGGGGAAAGTTATTTTTAAATATAGTACATTTCAAAAGACAAATTTTACAATGGGAGACTTTTTATTTTTTCTAATAAAGGGTTTTTCTCTTTGTTTATTAAAACATAAAACAGTTTCTTCTTGAACCGGTATTTGTAAAATTTATCCAACTGGCAACTTCCTCAGTCACAGGCAGAGCCAGGTGAAATATGTAAAGCAATTTACATCTAAGACTAGAAGGCTAATTTGGTATTACTGCATAGGCTTAGTATTATTGCATAAGTTCCAAATTTGCCGCAAAACTATACTTCTTTCAGATTTGCTGTTGCATCATCCTATCTGCCATCCAACGGTAGAAGCACCACCTTGTGGCAAAAAGAAGAGCTTCTCAATGACAGAAGTCAGGACTGGTTAGCCCGAGGAGACGGCAGAACACTCAGTGGGCTTCCGGGGCACAAGTGATGGTCTATTTCTTGACCGGCATAGAAATGTCATGAGTGCTCATTTTATAATTCCTTATTAAGCCACATGACTTTTCTGTTTTTGTTCTCTGTAATTTTAAAAGCTTACAGGGAAGAAATGGTTTCTATGTACCCGAATTAAGTCCTATGCCTACATGCTTGAACTTTCTAAGCACCAGTCATACTTCCTAGAATTTCCTAGAACTACAGTGCATTCTTAACCTTGTAAACGCGCTGCTCTGTTTTTACAATAGGAACAAAACACCAGAAAGAGGTCTATTCTTTGGTAAATAATGGAAGATCTTTCCCTCAGAACGTGTTCAGCACTGCTCTCTTGGCCTCCAGAAAGCAACTGCAGGTTGTCACCATTTGGAATCACCTCTACACACCTGTACTAACATCTCTGAATACCAAAAGACCCTAGATTTTATGGCCTTGATAGAGAATAGCAAGGCTACATGGCATATTTAACTATGTTAACAATATTCAATCAGAAAGGATTTTCTTTCACGTTTTACCATACTGAAGCGATACAAGCTGTTAACAAAGTGACTTGGATTCGCTGAGATTTTCACTTCTCTAACTGCCATGGAATCACCTTTCCTGGGAGCTATCGGCATGACATTTAGTACCTTTGTCATACCATGGAGAATTTTTGGAGAAAAAGTCTTCTTTTTTCGTAAGAAGCTGTCAGCATGCTTTTGTGACTGTGTCCTTCATGATGACCCCCACATGGGCACATCTCGGTGGCAGGAGAGAAGAGTCATCAGCTGACCCTGCCCCACGTGGGGCCTACATTGCCTGGATGCCACCATCCAAACCAGCTTCCATTCTACACAGGAAGCAACTCTCATTCCCGGCTTCGCTGATGCTGGGAATAGTCAAGATGTCGGGACATGGTCCTGACAATATTTCACAGGATAATGCCTTTTGCTGGGTTAATGCTATCGGCTCACCTAATCTTTATGCTCAAGTTGATACAGAATATATTTTAAAAAAATATTTAAAACAGATTTTTTATCCTAGTTCATCCCACAGAATGTTATATCCCAGTTCTGACCGAAGCCATGTCAAAGGGGTACAATATGGAGAAAGCCACTATGCAAATGTTCTTTTATAATTTGACATAGTTCAGGTGTGACCACGCCAGTAATCATGAATATTGCTCAGTCAAGTGTTTAATTCTATATATAAGTGAAGAAATGTCAGGCTGTTGTACCACCGAGATCTGTGACTTCCCTAGCAAGTCTTTAAATATAGCTACCTCAGAGAGGAAAACAAGACATACTTCAGGGGGTGTTTTAACAGTCTTAAGATGGAGATGGAATTATTGAGCTTAAATCTGAAAAGGTCAAATCGTTATTGCCTCCCCCACCCCCTGCAACACAAGTAAAGAAATACAAGCTTGCCCACGGTCATACCCCCCGAATGTGCCTGATCATGGAAGCTAAGCAGAGTCGGACTTGGCCAGTACTTGGATGGGAGAAAATATGGCCTTAACAAGGCTGCTTCACTAAGATGTCTGGAACTGGCCATGTCCAATGCTAAGATAAAATATGATTAATATAAAATTTTGGCATGGATAGTCCACAGAAGTTATAGTTCAGTACTTTCATCTAATATAATGCTCAACTGATCACTCTATCTAAAAAAGTTCTTCAGTATTTTTGAAAAAAATACAGTTAGAATAAGTTTTTTTTTTTTTTAACACTTTTCCTTGTAGAAATAGATGAGAGAGCTCCAGAATAAGGGAAGAGAGAACCATGAAGAATGAAGAAAATGACTAATGGGAACCCAATGGGAACCCAATCTTTTAAAAATCTTTGCTACAACTAAAATCAAAAACTTAATTCTGAGATTTTTCTATTTTTTAAATACAAATCTATCTAATTATTCAAAGCATAAGGTACCTCTAACATTCAAAGTCTCAGTGTCTGACACTATCACAAGCTTTAGAAAAAGAACAATATATAGTAATGAACAGTGAGCTTGGGCACAGTTTCGCAAAGACTGTTTGACCCTGAGGAAATCCAGAATCTCTAGAATTTATTAAAATTATAAAGGGGTCAGATTTTATAAGCTCTTTTCCTCAACTTTGGCTAAACGTAACTACATTAAAATACTAAGAGTCTTTGATCACGAAGCAGAAACATACAGTGATAGATTTCTTTTAATCCTTACTCTCAAGAATGGTATTTAAGCAAAACCCTCATTTGGTAAGACGTACACTAACACATGTGAAGAAAATAACATTCTGATTTTATAGAGCAGCCCCAGGTAATGTTAACAACTAGATTAAAAAAATAAGGAGAACCAATCTTATTCTGTACGTTCTTGAGCTGGGAAGCATCTCAATTAAAGGAGTCATGTTCAGGGAATGACACCCCAAAACATAAATTCTTACACATGAAATTTCCCTGTTAAGTACATCTTTTTCAAATTCTTTAGTTAACAGCAGTACTTTAAAAATCTTCAACTGTAAACTCTCAGCTTGCAACATTTTGCTTTTTCCTGAACCTTGAAAACTTCAAAGTTATATTAAATACATTATCTTCTGTTTCTTCTTAAAGAACTCATGTTCATAAAAGGATCATCATCGTCATCCTGAAATGACATACAAATGTTACAGGAGTGACTGTTGCACGCTTCACTCAGACAAGACAGACATGCTCACAGGTAAACAATACCAATAAAAGCCATTTCGTCCTTTCACATGAGGTGCCTTTCATTGTTCTCTCTGCTTTATGGATATGAATCGTCTGTTCATTTATCTTTTCCTCCCTTCCCTGGTAGCTCTTTCACCGTGGAAGTAAGTCAGTCAGTTAAATTCTTAGCAAGCTCTGAAAATAACTGATCCTGATATATGTGTAGGTGTGTGTGGATCCCTACAATATATATCATATACATTTCTCTCAATTATTAACCTTAAAAAAGGCAAATAAAGTATGGGTAAGCCAGGAAAGTTAATACTCTTCAAGTTATTTCTGTTTGCTTTTCGGGAGTTTTTTCCCTAATTACATTTTATTACTGATGTTACCTAATATTCTGGAAACTCACCCCCCCGGCCAAATATGAAGGCACAGGACCTAACTCAGAAATAGCTATAATTCTTATTTCCTGTTACCCATTTCATGCCAGCAGTAGACAGCTACTCTTAGACTGCTGCAAAAAGACACCTAGCAAATCAATCTTTGAAGTATCTTTCTGGAAAAAGCAGCAGTATGGAAGAGTTCTCATGCTGGAATGAGACCGAAGATTATATGCACAGTAAGAGCATATAATCTTAGTTAGCAGGAAAACTAACAAACCTCAGATGAGCCCAAATTATAAAATTTGATGAGGATAACTTAAAATTGATTCTGATGTATTCTCTAGCTAAATATCCAGGAGAAAGCAAATCTGCCTGTAAATTTTCTTTCTTTCTTTTTTAATTAATTAGAGAGGGATAGAGAGCAAGAAGAGAGCACGAGCAGGTGGAAGTGGCAGAGAGAGAGGGAGAAGCAGACTCCTGGCTGAGCAGGGAGCCCAGTGCGGAACCCGATTCAGAACCCTGGGATCGCCGAAGGCTGATGTTTACCTGACTGAGCAACTCAGGTGCCCCTGATTTGTTTCTTTTAAGACATTAATAAAAAGGGATAATTATTTGGTGTTAGGCTAAGTTAGCTATCCTTTGTTACCTACGTTACCTATCTCTAGTGAGAAATGAATGCCTAGAAAAATACAAATTGACTCACATTACTGATTCATTTTCTGCTATTAACAAAGGCAGAACTTATTAAAAACCAGAGATAAATCCAACTTGAGGCATAATAACCTGCTAATTGCTTTTCTTTGCAGTTAACATGAACTATATCCAAATCTCTAACTTTAACATTTAACATGTCCATCTATACATGACTGGAATGAATAAATGACCACAACTGCTTGCTTCCCTCCTGGAGGCAACATGGTACTATTTCACAGGGAGCTTGAGCTCATGCTGCCATTGTTCTCTGCAGCCTGAACTGCTGGTGAGTCCTCTCCTCAAGCTGGTTCAAAACCACAGCTGGGATACAGGACATGACAGCAACAGCGGAAGCTCAAAACGAAAGGTGTGAGTCAAGGGCTACAGCAGGGATGAACCTGCAGGGCATCTTTTTGTCAGTCACAAAAAGATAAACACTGTGACTCCACTTATAGCACGTATCTAAAGCAGTCCAATTCATAGAAACAAAAAGTAGAATGGTGATTACTGAGGCTGGGAGGAAAGGGAAATGAGGAGTTGCTCAGTGGGTGGAGATTTTTAAATCCAGATGAAAAAATTCTGGAGATCTACTGCACTACAAAATGAATATACTTCACACTAGTGCACTGCACGCTGAAAAATGTTTAAGATGGTAAGTTTTTTTTTTTTTTTTTTTTTTTAAGATTTTACTTTGGGGCGCCTGGGTGACTCAGTGGGTTAATAAGCCTCTGCCTTCGGCTCAGGTCATTGTCTCAGGGTCCTGGGTTTGAGCACCGCTTTAGGCTCGCTGCTCAGCAGGGAGCCTGCTCCCCCTCCCTCACCACCCCCCTCCCCACCTGTCTCTCTGCCTACTTGTGATCTCTGTCTAATAAATAAATAAATAAATAAATAAATCTTTTTTAAAAAAGATTTTATTTTATTTATTCAAGAGACAGTGTGAGAGTGCGAGAGAGAAAGAACACACAGGAGCAGGAGCAGAGGGAGAGGAAGAAGGGAGAAGCAGCCTCCCCATGGAGCAGAGAGTCCAATATGGGGCTCGATCCCAAGACCCTGGGATCATGACCTGAACCAAAGGAAGATGCTTAACTGACTGAGCAACCCAGGCACCCCAAGATGCCAAGTTTTACCCTGTATGTTTGTACCACAATTAAAAAACTTTTTAAATAAAAATAAAGGGGGTGCCTGGGTGGCTCAGTGGGTTAATCCTCTGCCTTCGGCTCAGGTCATGGTCTCAGGGTCCTGGGATCGAGCCCCACATCGGGCTCTCTGCTCAGCAGGGAGCCTGCTTCCCCTTCTCTCTCTGCCTGCCTCTCTGCCTACTTGTGATCTCTCTCTCTCTCTGTCAAATAAATAAAATAAAATCTTTAAAAAAAAAGAAATAAAGAAAGAAATGGGGTGTCTTGGTGGCTCAAATCAGTTAGGTGTCTGGCTTCTGCTCGGGTCATGATCTCAGGGTCCTGGGTGCGGCTCCCTGCTCAGCCGGGAGTCTGCTTCTCCTTCTTCCCATGCCCCTCCCCCCTACCTGCACGCTCTCTCTCAAATAAATAAAATCTTTCAAAAATTAAAAAAATAAAAGAAAGAAATGAAAGGGGTTACAGAGCTAAGAAAAACACATTAAAGCAATTTAACAAAAACTAGCAAAGGCCCATTAACTGGCTGCCATGGAGGAATGGGAAAGGCCAGGCTTTAACACAGCTGAATGAACGGATGAGTGAAGCCAAGAGGCTAGTCTTGAGTCTGCCTCTCTATTCCTTCTCCCCCAGCTTAGAAGAGACTTGGTAGTTTTATGGCCTGGACATAAATTGTAGTTTCTTTCACACGTCCTGCCATGTGGCACTTCAGTCAATATCTGAAACCCTCTGTAAATGAAAATCACCACCATGTACCCTTTTATATATGAAATATGTAAAGCATGTAGCAAGTACTTAATAAATATTTTATTAAAGTAACATTAAAAACTTCTAGAATATCATTATCACTTCTCCAAATATAAATGACAGAAATGGAGGAAAAACTATTCTGATCCACGATTAACAGGGCAAATTAATTAAGAATTCAGGATATCCTATTTTAAAAATTGGCAGGTTGGGGCGCCTGGGTGGCTCAGTGGGTTAAGGCCTCTGCCTTCGGCTCGCGTCATGATCTCAGGGTCCTGGGATCGAGCCCCGCATCGGGCTCTCTGCTCAGTGGAGAGCCTCCTTCCTCCTCTCTCTCTCTGCCTGCCTCTCTGCCTACCTGTGATCTCTGTCTGTCAAATAAAGAAATAAAATCTTTAAAAAATAAAAAAAATAAAAAATAAATAAATAAAAATTGGCAGGTCTTTTATAGCTGAGTATTTAGATTTACGGGTACCCAACAAACATTACTTGTTGATTCTTTTTTTTTTTTTTTTAAAGATTTTATTTATTTATTTGACAGACAGAAGACACAAGTAGGCAGAGAGGCAGGCAGAGACAGAGAAAGGGGGAAGCAGGCTCCCTGCTGAGCGGAGAGCCCAATGCGGGGCTCGATCCGAGGACCCCAGGATCATGACCTGAGCCGGAGGCAGAGGCAACCCACCGAGCCACCCAGGTGCCCCTACTTGTTGATTCTTAACATTAAGTACAGTTCAAAGGAAGGTTATCAATGCACGTATTTTAAAAAATCATTTCCAGCAACTAGCTTAGCAGTCCTTACTTAAATTTTATAGACAGCTGAAAATTGATGAAGATTTAACAATATTACTTTATTACCTCATCTGATTCAAAATCAACTCCTTTAGCTATTTGGCTCTGGGACATGCACTTGCTTGATGATGATGCGCTCGACCACCTGAGGCAGAAACATGGGAAAAATAAAGAAAATGAATGAGAGAATTCATGAGCCCTTTTAAGTGCGATTTTTCATTCTAGTAGCAGCCATGAGTAAAGATAGCTAATCCCTTCCCTCAATCTACACTAGAGACAGTAAAAATGTAATGGTGAGGAAAAGGACTCTGGAGCTAGGGTCTGAATTCCAATTTTGTCATTTACTAGCTATGTGGCTTCAGGCAAGTTACTTAGCCTCTCTGCCTCAATTTTCTCATCCATAAAATGAGGATAGTAATAAGTTTTTAGAGAATTACTGTGTTAATATGCTAAAAGACTTAGATCAGTCGCCTAACATCTATTAAATACTATACCGATCCTTGCTTATTATAGTGCTTAGCATGTATTAACATGCATCTACTATCATCCCCCACTCCTGAAAATTGAATATGGAAATATTTGTATTCAAATACCAGCTATATTTCTGTTACAAGATAAAGGGATTTCAGGGGAGGCTCACAATTTTCTAGGGCTCACTGCTCACTGCTCGTCTTACTCATGTTCGATCCAAATCAAATAGCAAATATACACTGAGAGCTTGCTCTTTTCCAGGTACTCTGATAGGCCCTGGGAAATATCAGCAAACAAGATCATGATTCCCCTCCTTATGAAGCTTAACTTGTGGTAAAGGAACTCATATTTGTCTGTCTTTTTATCAGCAGGAATTCTAAATCCTCTTAGATCAGGTCACTGCAGTCTATCCAGCCTGGTTTTTTACTGCCTATGAACTAAGAATGGTTTTCCCATTTTGAAATGGGGTACATTTAAATGGTTTTACAAATATCTACATAATCGCCTCAGCTTTGCCTCTTGGTCTGCAAAGCCTAAAATATTTGCTATCTGGCCCTTTAAGAAAGTTTGCCAACTCCAGTCTTAAATGAAAGCAGCATTTGTAAACTTTTAGCTACTAATTTATTACCATGCATTGGGATGTTACAGCAAAAGTACGTCTGAAGTATATCTGAAGATCTTGTCTGGACAAGTGGGTTGAGAATCAAGAGGGCATATGTCAGAAGGAAAGAAAAAACCCACAGGTTCTTCTACATAAAAGTAAAGGACAGGAGGATCTATGAAGCAAACTTGAAGGGCAACACGGCTTTAGAAGTAGAGATCAAGGAAATTTATCAAGCGATCCATCTGGGACATGCCCATCTCTCTATACTTGGCCTAAGCGGGAACTGGTCAGTTGCTGACTTGTTTCCATCTGTGACAGGAAGCAGGTCATCAAGAGCATACAGCCACAGTGCCAAGGAGGCAGAAGTTAGGTGAACCCATTCTCCCTGGGGGCTGGGGAAAGGGGGCTGGTTTATGGAAAAAAAAAAAAACCCCACTAAGACCTGACTTGGCTTCTGATGTCTCCCCAAATAACCAATGGGACCCAGAAACGAGCCAGTCATCTATGATGGACAGTGGCTCATCTGATCACAGCGAGAGTCCTAAGTTCTGCATCGGGGGGCTCCACAGACTTACAGATCTCATTTGTGAAGGACCCCTAGCCCTAGAAATCAACAGTAGGGAGGGAAAGAAATGGTTATACTCTTTTGATTGCTGGGTCGAATAAATGGGCCTTATCCTGGTTATGAGAAAAGGTTTAATTTGATTTGCTTCATGTGGATGGCTAAAATAAAAAGAGAGGGTGTATCAAATTGAGCGCCAGGAGCTGTAAGCTTGTTTCCCTTTTTTGTTCAGATACTATTTGGGGCCATATATCAGAGCGTTCAGCCTAGAGATGTTCAGCCAAGAAGTCAGCTGCAGCAGTGTTTAAGCACAAGGTGACATGTTAGAACTGGCCTAATACTGTGGCTGGCACATCACAGGTGCCACAAAAATGCAAGCTTTCCACCACTCAATGTCTGCCCCTCCCCCACACCCCTTATTGATGTTTTGAGGGAGGGTCCTCGGTTTATTTGGTACTGCTACCAAACCTGAACGGCCCTCTTATTGCCAGCACAAGGACAAAGTCTGGAACAACCTTCCCAAGGAAAAGTAGGCTCTCTGTTACCCATCTGGCAGGAGGCAGTTTTACAGCCCTTAAGTTATTTCCTTTTCCAAGTTAACTGCTGGGCATTATGGAGCTTTTATTGCTTACCTTTCCTCCTGTTACTCTTGTTCTATTTTCCCTAGCCTGCTATTTAATTTATTTAATGAACACTTATAGAGCTGTTACTGTGTTACTATGTGTCAGGCATTGTACTTAGCACTTTATAAGTATTAACCCACTTAAATCTCATAACCATATGGGGTAAATACTATTATATTAATTTTATAAATGAGGATACTGAGGCACAGAGAAGTAAAACAACTTGTACAAGGCCCATACCTTGTATGTTTTAGAGCTTAAATACTGTAAATAATCAAAATAACCATACAAACCTTGCCATTAATAAGTCAGTCTTCAAAACCCACCAAAATTGTGTCAGTCGTTGCTTCATCAGAAACACAAATTTGCCATGGCTGATTTCTGATCTGCTGCCAAAAACATTAATTTCTAAGTTGCCTCTCATCATTTAAATGGTTCCTACTGCCTGCACAGTGGTTTGAGAGGTGAATCTGTTGTGCTATGAAGCGAAGCAGCAGCACAAACAGGTCTGCAGCAGAACCCCTGGCTGTGTGACTGGCTGGGCCTCGGTAAATAAGTAAGCCACTTAACCTACTGTGCCTCACTTTCTTCCAAGGGACAATGGGATAGTTACAGCTTCATCTGCCTCCTGGGGTGCATGTGAGCACCACACAAGTTAATTCACATGGAAAGGCTCAGAAGAATAAACAATTCAGTTATTCTTATTACCGCAGGAGTAAATAAGAAAGTGACAGACATTTATTCTACTGAAAAGTAGACAACACAAAATGGTAACAAAAATCAAGATATTTTTCTTTAATACCTTTAAAATATATGTCAAACATACTAAAATAGTATTTCCATTGGTTCTAATAATGAAAAATAAGGACCTCATGCAACCTAAACTTCTTATTTCCTCTCGACTACTGATGCACTACTGGGGGGAAAAAAAAACCTCAGAAAGCTACACTTGTTTTTGTTTGTGTGTGTTTTAATTCACAAAGACAAGAATGATCAAGCAAGTACTGAAAGGGACTCTCTTCCTTTGATGGACTGACATATTCAGATATTCTTTCAATAAACCTCCTTTTCCCTAAGCAAATTTGAGTTAGGTTTTCATTGGATCAAAGAACCTAAGGTGTCCTGACTAATATAGGACTTAGTTTAAGTCCTTAAACTTATAGTTTAAGACAGTAACTCAAGACTGAGAAATGCTACCCCAATTATCCTCAACTATAGACCACAAATACACAACCTGACTTGCACCTCAGCCTGTCTTGGTATTTTGCACTCGTTCTACCAAGGCCGGCACTGGCTTTGGCAACGCCATACTCTTCTGGGTCTTTCTCATTGCTCCTACTTTTCCTAAATTCTAAAGGTTAAAACCCAGGTACTAGAACACAAAGCCCTCTCTTCTCTACCTTCTCTTGTAAGGTGATCAATCCATTCTAATAGCTTCAAGTTCAATATCTGTGTATCTGTTATATGCTGTTGAGAAGGACATTTAGGTATCATTCAAACCTCGCATCTGAGCTACGGACTCATATATCCAATTGCCTACCACCAACCCCTTCATATAAATTTCACAGGCATCTCAAACTTTCCACATCTAAAGCAGAATTATTTGATTTTCTGCCCATCATCCCTTACCAAAATCTATTTCTCTTCTTTGATGACTTTCTCAGTGTATGGCACTAAGAGTTCAAGTAGAAAACCTGGAAACCAACCATGATAACTCATTCTCCCTCACTCCAGATAGTCAATACATCCCCGACGTCTGTCATGTCTACCTCCTAATATACCCTGAAACCGTCTATTCCTTCCCTTTCCCTTGCTACCACTCTGGTACAAGCCTCTGTTATCTCTCTTCTGGGGACTACACACACTCCTTTCAGGTCAGCCTACGTACCTTGCTTCCTGTACCACAGGGGTCCTTTATAAATATAAATCAGATGGTGCCACTACTCTCTCAAAATCCTTCCATGGATTTCCCTGCATTTATAATAAAGTCCAAATACCTTACCCTGCTCAACTGTTACTGCTTCATGATGTATTCCCGCTTTTCTTATTCTTATCTCAAACCCCTTCTTTTCCATGGATTGGTCACTGGCTCCTAACTACAGTTAAGCTTCTTTCTTTTTCAAGAGGCTAAGGATCTGTGCTCAGAAAACTATAGGACACTCATGAGGGGCACCTGGGTGGCTAAGTGAATTAAAGCCTCTGCCTTCAGCTCAGGTCATGATCTCAGGGTCCTAGGATCGAGCCCCAAGTCGGGCTCTGTGCTCAGCAGGGAGTCTGCTTCCCCCTCTGTCTCTGCCTGCCTCTCTGCCTACTTGTGATCTCTCTCTCTCTGTCAAATAAATAAATAAAATCTTGGGGGGGGGGGGGGGAAGAACACTCATGAGAAAAACTGAGGAAGACACAAAGAAATGGAAAAATGTTCCATGTTCATGGATTGGAAGAACAAATATTGTTAAAATATCAATGCTACCCAGAGCAATCCATACATTTAATGCAATCCCTATCAAATACCATCAATTTTTTTCACAGAGTTGGAACAAATAATCCTAAAATTTGTATGGAAACCGAAAGGACCCGAATCTCCAAAGGAATGTTGAAAAAGAAAACCCGGGGCGCCTGGGTGGCTCAGTGGGTTAAAGCCTCTGCCTTCGGCTCAGGTCATGATCCTGGGGTCCTGGGATCGAGCCCCACATCGGGCTCCTTGCTCAGTGGGGAGCCTGCTTCTCTCTCTGCTTCGGCCTGCTGCTCTGCCTGCTTGTGTTCTCCCTCTCTCTCTCTCTCTCTCTCTCTGACCAATAAATAAATAAATTAATTAATTAAAAAAAAAAGAAAGAAAGAAAAAGAAAACCCAAACTGGTGGCATCACAATTCCAGACTTCAAGCTCTATTACAAACCTGTAATCATCAAGAGAATATGGTACTGGCACAAAAACAGACACATTAGATAAATGGAACAGAGTAGAGACCCCAGAAATGAACCCTCAACGTTATGGTCAACGAATCTTCAACAAAGCAGGAAAGAATATCCAATGGAAAAAAGACTGTCTCTTCAACAAATGGTGTTGGGAAAATGGGACAGCCACAGACAGAAGAATGAAATTGGACCACTTCCTTACACCACACACAAAAAGTGACTCGAAATGAATGAAAGACCTCAATGTGAGACAGGAATCCATCAAAATCCTAGAGAAGAACGCAGGCAGCAACCTCTGTGACGTCATCTGTAGCAAATTCTTGCTAGACACGTCTCCAGAGGCAAAGGAAACAAAGGCAAAAATGAACTATTGGGACTTCCATCAGGATAAAAAGCTTTTGCACAGCAAAGGAAATAGTCAACAAAAACTAAAAGGTAACCTACAGAATGGGAGAAAATATTTGTAAATGACCTATCAGATAAAGGGCTAGTATCCAAAATCTATAAAGAACTTATCACTCATCACCAAAAAAACAAAAAAATCTAGTCAAGAAATGGGCAGAAGATGTGAACAGACATTTCTCCAAAGAAGCCATACAAATGGCTAACAGACCAATGAAAAAATGCTCAACATCACTCAGCATCAGGAAAATACAAAACCACAAGGAGAGACCACCTCACACCAATGAGAATGGCTAAAATTCTAAAATTAACATGAGGAAATGACAGATGTTGACTCTCTTATACTGTTGGTGGGAAAGCAAGCTGGTGCAGACACTCTGGAAAACAGTATGGAGGTCCTCAAGAAGTTAAAAAAAGAACTACAGGGGCGCCTAGGTGGCTCAGTGGTTTAAAGCCTCTGCTTTCGGCTCAGGTCATGATCTCAGGATCCTGGGATCGAGCCCCGCATCGGGCTCTCTGCTCACCAGGGAGCCTGCCTCCCCCTCTCTCTGCCTGCCTCTCTGCCTACTTGTGATCTCTGTCAAATAAATAAATAAATAAATCTTAAAAAAAATAAAATAAAATAAAAAAAGAACTACACTATGAGCCAGGAGTTGCACTACTAGGTATTTACATATACATGCATAAACACACACATGGTTTGTCTCTCTGCGGGGAAGAAATATATTTGTATACATGTATATATTGTATACACGTAGTGATCTGAAGGGGCACCCGCACTCCAATGTTTACAGCAGCAATGTCTACAATAGCCAAATTATGGAAACAGCAGAGATAGCCATCAAGAGATGAATGGAAAGATGTGGTGTATATACACAATGGACTACTACTCAACCAACAGGGGGAAAAAAAAAAAATCCTGCCATTTGCAATGACATGGATAGAGCTAGAGGGTATTATGCTAAAAGTGAAGTAAGTCAATCAGAGAAAGACAATTATCATATGATCTCACTCATATGTGGAATTTAAGAAATAAAACAGAGGATCATAGGGGAAGAGAGGAAAAAATAAAACAAGATGAAACCAGAGAGGGAGACAAACCATAAGAGCCTTTCAATCATAGGAAACAAACTGAGGGTTGCTGAGGCGGGGGATGGGGTAACTGGGGGATGGACATTAAGGAGGGCACAGGATGTAATAAGCACTGGGTGTTATCTTAGACTGATCAATCACAGACCCGTACCTCTGAAACCAGTAATACATTATATATTAATTAATGAATTTAAATTAAAAAGAAAAACAAACAAACAAACGAGAGGCACTCTGTATGTGCTCTTCCTCCTGCTTTTTGCAAGGCCAAGTCTCTCAGCAAGATTTCAGTTAATTTTTTAAAAAAAAATATTTTATTTATTTATTTGACAGAGAAAGAGGGAGAAAAACCAGAGGGAACAGCAGAGGGAGAGGGAGAAGCAGGCTCCCTGCCATGCAGGGAGACCAATGAGCAGCTCAATCCCAGAACCCTGGGATCATGACACGAGCCAAAGGCAGACTCTTAACTGACTGAGCCACCCATGCACCTGAAGAGTTTACCTTAAAGGTGATCTCCTCAGAGGCCTTCCCTGATCTCTCTTTCAAGCAGATGTCTGTGGCCTGTGACATTACTCTTTACTGCTGCACCCTGATAATTTTGTAGGGGCCAACAGTAGACCATCCCAACATCAGTTACTTTGACATGAGGATTATTTTGAGTTAAAAAGCAATCAAAACTCAGCAGATTCAGGAAAGCTCTTTACCTTCCCCCAAACGCCTAAAAAGGACTTAGATATTGGACCTACTCCAGGAAGAGAGCTATCACCATAGGTAGGTAACCATATTACGGTATGGACTAGGTATGGTAGACAGGGAGGAACCCAGCAAAGATTTTGTTTGATCAAAATCCTCTCTGTCCTACTGATTCTGAGTGGCCCGGCAAACATTCATTTACCAAGCACTTACTGTCTTTCATCTTCCTGTGAATTGCTTTCTTTCCCACTGATGTCCAAGATCCCTACTCTCTTACTTCAGAATGACATATATACCTCATTTTGTCTGTCTTTGGAATTTCCACGTTTGTGTGGATTCCCCCTATGTATGAAATTAAACTTTATTTCCTCCTATTAATCTGTCTCATGTCAATTTGGTTCTTAGCTCAGCCAGAAAGACCTTGAAGGGGAGAAGAAATTCTTCCTCTCTGACAATTTCTTTTAAACATTCTTAAACACCTGTTGATCATCAACCCAAACATTACCTACTTTCTTTGTAAAGCCTTCGATGACCTATTCTAGAAGACAGTGTCACTTCCCTCAGATTTCATTACACTTGAATAAAACATTTACCTTGTTGGATTATTAGTGCCTCGTAATTAGCATACTGCTAAAGTGGAAATTCCTTGAAGGAAGGAGACGTTTCTTCCATATTTCTACCCCCAGCTCCTAGCATAACATGTAACTGAGTAAATATATGGATGCAGAACTACATATACCAATTTTCCCAACACAGATCCTTAATTCACATAAAGCACATATTCTCTGTAGGGTCAGTATCACGCCCAAGGAACGAAAATTGGTTCTAAAAGATGGGGTAGGTGAAAAATCTGAGATACTACAATGGTTTTGGCCTTTCCCAAGCTCAATCCTACCCAGCAAAATTTCATTCTTTAGTATTTAATTTCTCTTATTCTTTTAATTTAAATCAAATTTAATTTTTATCCTTAAGAAATGAAAACAAGGTTGAGCTCATGAAACCAGTGTTAAACACTGAGGCAGGGTTTTTTTCCTCATTCTCTTCCTTCTTGCTAACAACTCCTGCTCAGGCCATTACTCTCAGCTGCCCTTCTCCACCCCTCTCAAAACTCAGATTCCTATCTCAAAACCTCAGCTAAATGTTACTCCCTTAGAAAACCCTTCCTTCTTTCATAGCCCATAATTCTTGCTCCGTTTTCTAAGAGCCTGTGAGCACTCACACCTAATCTGTATCATAAAATTTCACACATAATTATGTACTGACTCATCATCCTTTAATGGACTGAAATGTGTTCATCTCTCTTTTCCACTATAACTTGCATTGCCTAAAGGCAGTAACCATGTGAAAACATTTATTCTGATCCCCAACAGACCTCATATAATGCTCATACAGAAAATCAGAGTTTAAAAAAGCTCTTGATTATTTTCTTAAGTAGAAATTTTCATTAACTGAGCTTCAGTTAAGCAGTGTCCACTTAAAACCCAACACAGAGAAATGCTAACAGTGCATCAAGCCAAGTAATAGCAAAAATGGCAAAAACCAAAAGGGACAGGTAGAAGCAAACGAGCGCTCCAAAGGCAGGAAAAGCCCACGTGATCCTCTTTTTAGTGTTTGGCACAGCACCCTGTGAAACGCAGTACGTAAAAATGCGATATGAAAGAGAAGCTGAAATAAAATATTTAGAAAAATACAATAAAAAAAAAATACAATACTCTGTTCATTAGAGAGAACACAGAAAACTCCATCAGGAAAATCCCTGAGTAATAAAGGCAAAAGGAAACAAATTAGAGGTTAAGTTTCACTGAAAAATACCTGCAGTAATGCTGCGTCATCTCTATGAACTCGGCTTTGCTCTATTTTTCACTTCTCTATTTATTTGGCCAGTTGAGAACAAATCTGTTAAACTTCTATGGCACAGAAAAATGTATAGGTAGAATTTTGGATGATTTAAAATTTTTCGGGTGTTTCTTCTTGCAGGAAATCAGTGCACCTACCTTTGTTCTGTTTTGGAAGTCGTAGGAAAAACGTCTTCTTCCACATCTGACTCATCCACCTCAATCACCTAAGGGAAAAAACAAAACAGTGAATAGATTTTATGGGAATTTATCTGAATAAAAATAAATAGTTGTATCTCAAAAAAAATTTTTTTTAATAGATTAGAAAAAAAAGTCAGAAAAAAGGGGGCAGAAACCAATTGTTAAAACTTAAGTTTGGGGCACCTGGGTGGCTCAGTTGGTTGAGCGACTGGACTGCTTTCAGCTCAGGTCATCATCCTGGGGTCCTGGGACGGAGCCTGACAGCAGGCTCCTTGCTCAGTGGGGAGTCTGCTTCTCCTTCTCCCTCTGCTCCTTCCTCCTCCTCCCAGTATCTCCCATGCATGCTCTCTGTCTCAAATACATAATCTTTTTTTTTTAAAAGATTTTATTTATTTATTTGTCAGAGAGAGAGGGAGAGCGAGCAAGCACAGGCAGACAGAAGGGCAGGCAGAGGCAGAGGTAGAAGCAGGCTCCCTGCCGAGCAAAGAGCCCAATGTGGGACTCGATCCCAGGACGCTGGGATCATGACCCGAGCCGAAGGCAGCTGCTTAACCAACTGAGCCACCCAGGCGTCCCTCAAATACATAAAATCTTAAAACAAAACAAAACAAAACCACAATAACCAAAACCTGAAGCTTAACCTGACTTCCCTCTAATGTCACTCTTCAATCACAAATGGTATCTATACATGTCTGAGCTCACTCTTCTCCTAAACACCATGGCAGCCGAGGTACCTAGAGGAACATTTATTTATTTGAAAGAGTGAGCAAGAAAGCACAAGAAGGGAGAGCAGCAGAGGGAGACGGAGAGGGAGAAGCAGACTCTCTGGTGAGCAGGGAGCCCCAATGCAGCGCTCGATTCCAAGACCCTGGGATCATGACCTGAGCCGAAGGCAGGTACTTAACTGACTGAGCCACCCAGGCACCCCAAGATATTTGTTATTCTTGATTCTATCATCTAAAATACTATGTAAGGACCTATTTTATATTTCTATTTTAGCCAGAGGCTTCCATTGAGGTTAAACAACAACTTTGTTGTTTAACCCTTAAACTGTCCCTGCTCCCCTTCCCCCAGGGGACTTAAAAACAAGTCCTGGAGACCAGCTCCAGGTGTGGAGGCCAAGAAAAACAAGGCTGTATCCACCTCGAGTCTAGCCCTGACATAAGTACAGCCATCTTGGCAAAGCAAAAGCCGGCACCTTGCACTATAAGAGTGGGTTAGCATAAGAATGGCCATCGTGAAGGCCAGGAAGCCATTTTACTGAGCGTCCCTAACCAGCCCACAGGTGCAAGTAACTTGAGACAAGAGAAAGTAGCTAAAACCTGAAAAAACAACTTAATCATATACCACCAGGGCAGTTAGGTGGTGGCGCCACAGGGACCAAATGTTAAAGAAAAACAAATAGTTAACTTGCAGAGATCACAATCCTGCAAGACAGGAGTCTCTCTTGGTTTGCAGATGTCCTGGTGATTTACAACAAAAAGGGCTATCTCTTCAATGGCCAGAGACAAATGGCTCAGTTCCTCAAGGTCTAAGGTCACACCATAAAACTGAGGGAGGCTGAGGCAGAAGGAAATGTAAATAAAGTTAAATTTCTTCTAAACCTAAATCTCATTTAACCGCCAGGATGGCGCCAGGGTGATGCCGGGGTGGCAAAGGTTAAACAAAGTAAGACTGTCAAAGTGGGGCACAAGATCTGTATGTAGCTATGAAAAAGTGCCTTGAAAATGCTATATAAACCCTTGGCTTTGAGTGCTCGGGGTCCTTGTTGAAACCCGCTGCCCCGGGCAGATACTTGGACCCCAGCTAGCTGGAAATAAACCTCGCTGTGTGACTTGCATTATCGAGAGTGTTCTCTGTCTAATCAAGGGGTGGGCGATTCCGTACCCTAACAACTACTTACTGGGACGCCTGGGTGGCTCAGTGGGTTAAAGCCTCTGCCTTCGGCTCAGGTCATGATCCCAGGGTCCAGAAATGGAGGCAGCATCAAGCCCACATCGGGCTCTCTGCTCAGCAGGGAGCCTGCTTCCCCTTCCTCTGTCTCTGCCTGTCTCTCTGCCTACTTGTTGTGATCTCTGTCTGTCAAATAAATAAATAAATAAATAATTTTTAAAAAAAAAAAGGAAAAAAGAAAAAAAAATACTACTTACTTATCTCTCTACATTTTGTATTATCTTGACACTTAATACACACAGTTGCTACATCTGCAGCTAAGGAACAAAGCCAAGGACAAAACAGTGAAAAAACAGTATCTGAGAGATCCCCCTCCAGGCTGACCTAAAACTATTAATAAAAAATTGTTAAATGTAGTTGTCCAAGAAACTATGAATCCGGCCAATGTTTCTGCATTTTGTCATAAAACCACCAGAAGATTGTCTTATGTGCCTTGAAGGAATCAAAGGTATTCAACGCTCCCCCAATCTACCACTGTGTAACCACAATGAATGAATACAAAAAAGCTATTTTAGCACAACTTATTCCTTTTGAACTCATGTTCCTGTCTTGCAAGAGAAAAAAATCCAGAAAAGAAGCTACTTTGTGGGTGTGCTATTTTGCTTTTAGATGATCTGCAAGTGACAGCAGGCAATAGTTGAAAGCAAATAATAAAATGGAGCTCAGGATAATAGTTATTAGCACCCACACATCAGCAACAACAGGAAGAAGGGGGGAAAAAGATGAGGTTAAGGGATATAAAAGGACAAAACGAAATCAGAGCAGAGAAGTTTTCTGGAACAGAAGGGTGGGTAACTTTTGTCACATATTCAAGAGTTGAAGAACGAAATTTGAGAGAATGCTGCTGGGGCAGGTATGACACAGAACACAAATTTTCAACTGCAGGTGATAATGGCTATTATTCTGGAAACTTAGGGACATGTCTGAGACATTTTTGATTGTCATAATTGGGGGGGGTTGCTACTGGCATCTAGAGGATAGAGGGTAAGATGTTGCTAAAATCCCCACAATGCAGAGGACAGTCCCTCCCAGTAAGACTTACCTGGTTCAAGACTTATCTGGTCAACAGTGCTGCTATGGAGAAACCCTGACACAGAAGCAAGAGCACTGCCTTAGGCGTAAAGACATGTGGGTCTTGAAAGTAAGGTAATAGGCGCTTCAAACACATATAAAATCTTGTAATCCAAAGGAAGTGCAGAGGGCCTATGTTATTGAATCTAGAGCTTAAGACAGAGGTCCTTACATTCTGACTGCTTAATTTGTCTTGAGTCTAGCTCCCAGCCATCAACAAACCAACCGTGGTATCATGAGAGGATAAGTAACAAAAGGAAGCCAGATTTAAATAAGACTTCTGTATGCACTGAACTCCAATCTTCAATATTAATATTCTATGCATGGACCTTTTTGGCTCAACAATGTTATCCTTGAAAATATTACTGTAAACACACATTTATGGGTTCCTAATCATGAGATACAGTATTTTTTTTTAATATTTTTATTTATTTGACAGAGAGAGACACAGCAAGAGAGGGAACACAAACAGGGAGAGTGGGAGAGGGAGAAGGAGGCTTCCCTCTGAGTAGGGAGCCCGATGCCGGGCTTGATTCCAGGACCCTGGGATCATGACCTGAGCCGAAGGCAGAGGCCTAATGACTGAGCCACCCAGGTGCCCGAGATCCAGTATTTAAAGAAAAAAAAAAAAAATCCTAGAAGCCCTTGGTCTGGATAACCCATAATATTCTGTCCAGCTTTAATGTTTCCCACTTTTTCTTCATTTACTTTGTAGATCAAAGAACTGACAATTCAAAACGCAGGAAGCATAAATTATTAACACACAACTATAAAACTTTTCATCTTACCTCTGAATAATTCTTAGTAGCAACATTTCGGGATGGCTGCTGTCTTGCAGATTTAAAGGCTATAAGGTGAAAAGAAAAAACATCCACTATGTTATTCTTAAAATAACTGAAAAAAAATTGTACCTATCTTTATCTTCAGACTTTGTAAGCTCAATCTACAAAAATCCATGAGAGCCAATTATAAAACATTTATATTTTTTAAAATCTAAAGGGAGGTGGAATTATATGTTCAAATAAATCAATGCCTAACTGTCAGTCTCCTGATTTCATGGCTTATTCAAATAAAATAACAGGTGATGTTCATAAATACACCTACACTAAAAATATTTTATAGGAACTATATGAAGGATAAAATCTGATCATCAAATGGATTAAACTCCAAATATATCAAAGGTAACCCTCCTCATGTCTTCTTTCCCTTACAGTTGGCAGTACCTTTCCCTGTGGCTAGATCAGGAACCATGTGGTTCCAGTAAGAGCTTTCTTATTCTCCTCTACTTTGTTAGCCATATTCAGTATCTAAGAAAGAGTCCAGGGGAAATCCTAGAAAACAGTGTTATCTTTTACGCTATGATATACTTCCCTTTAAATCCTCACATTTTAGCTTTAAAAACTTAGAAACATGAAGTTTAGCTAACCCTTTATATTTCCCAAGATCAAAATCATGATACTACGATTTTATAATAAGAAATACGGGTTTAGTCTCGGTCCCCATTTCTGGCAGAGCTCCTAGTACCCGGAAATTCCTAAGTACTAAGAGCCAGAGAAGTGTCTTTTGTCATGTTAATGAAGTGACTTTCAAACCAAACCTAAATCTGGGGGCTGGTTGCCAGGGAACCAACATGGAAATCAGGAAATGAAGGCTGGAACTCAGTCCCACCCCAAGATTTCCAAGGAGACAGGGGGACCGGAGGTTGAATCAATCACCAATAGCCAATGATTTAATCAATTAATGGTAATGAAGCTGCCACAGAAACCCAAAGGAGGGGTTCAGCAAGCTTAGAGGTGGTAAACTAGAATGCTCCCACTTGCCAGGCTGCTGGCCCCCAAACTCTGAGGATACAAATCCTTTGTTTGCAACCTTACCTTTTGTATTTCTTAATCCGGCTGCTGATTTATATCCTTTGTAATAAACCAGTAAATTAGTGAATTAACTAGTTCCCTGAGTTCTGTGAGCCGCCCCAGGAAATTAATTAAACCCGAAGAGGAAATTAGGGGAAAAAGACGGATAAAAAGCACAGCTAGATTTCTGATTAGCCTCTGAAGTGGAGGGAGGCAGTATTGTGGAACTCAGCCCTTACCCTAAGGAATCTGATGCTACATCTGGGTAGACAGTGTCAGAATTGAGTCAATTTGTAGGAAACCCAGCTGATGGCTAAGAATTGCTTAGTGGTGTGAGCCCCCGCATCCCCTCCCTTGCCCCCTCCCACTACAATGAATTGGGTACAGAATATTTAAAACCTAGAATAAATCTCAAACTGCCAATTAGAGTTTTATTTCCTCCTAAGCCTTACCAATTTCTTAATATAAAACAATGTTTTCCCCAAGACAACCCCCAAATTAAACAGGGTAAGAGGAGAAAAAAAGAAAGAGGCCCCGAAAAAGTCAAAAGCTCAGAGAAACCCACAAAGTCCAAAATTCTTGTAGTTTGAAAACTCAGAAATTGTTCTATCTAGCCTAAATTTATGATTTGTTCATTTTTCCTATTCCAGGTTCTATCCCCAGTCTTGTGATGTCTATCTGAGAGGAGAAATTAAGGGCAAAAGCAAAGTTCTTACCCACTCTACTCAATTACTAGGGCCTTACATCCTAACTCTACTTGAAAGGCTAAAGAGGGCAACTGAATGATAAAAGTCAGCCATCATGACTCTTAAAGAATATTTCTACTCAATAATTATTGACTAATTGAATCCTCAGACTCTCAGATCCTGAAGAGCCCGCCTTAAAAATAAATAAATAAATGGCCCTCCTTTCTTTATATCCCCAACAAATAAATGTCAGTGAGATAAATTAACCTTATCAGAAAAATAAGCACTGAGTTAAGTTAGGAAGGCAAAACAGTATGGTGGTTGTAGAGTTAAACTCATTTTGACTGACTAGTTGGGTGACCAGAGCCAAGCTCCTTGGCTTCCTTAAGTCTCAATTTCCCCGCCTATAAAGTGATGTGGGAAATAAAGGCAGAAGAAAAATTACTGAATTTCCATACTACCTACAGCCCACTGGCAAGTCCTTGAAACAAAAGAGTGACATTCCTTTAGGGACTCAACTACCTTGAAGTTGATACTCTGCTCAGGGCAAAGGGTAATCTTAGCCCAATTCCAGGACCCCCTAAGTCTACTTTAACACATAAAAATTCCTTTGGAAACTTGCTTTATCTCTATCCCCAAAATACATGTGGACAATCATCCCTTAAGTACAGGACCCACCCATATATATTTGAAGGGTCTCATGACAGAGTTTTTACTAAACAATAATAAAATTACCTTTCCTAACAATAGTTAACCCCCTCAGGATCCTGGAAACCTTGTTTCCAAAATACCTGGGAGGCTTACACTATCCCCAACCCCCTCCCAACCTGAAAGTATAAAATGGGCCACTCCTCATGAACTCAGCACAGCTCTTTCTGCCCAAGTCCTGTCCCTGTGCTTTAAAAAAAAAAAAACAAAAAACCATCTTTTTGCACCAAAGATGTCTCAAGAATTTCTTCTTCGCCGTCAGCTTTGAACCCTAATGTCTTTCTTACATCATAAAATAGTGTTAATCAAAATTCATGCAGAAAATCGTTGCAAAGATAAGAAGAGGTGATTAATGGAAATAGTTCTGCCAAGAGACTAGGAGGAGCAGGTACTCTGATAACGTAGCTAGCGGCCCGCCATGACAGTAAACTACATGGAATCACAGAGCCTTCAGAGCCACCACTCACTCGGTCACCACCCTCTGCAGACAAACTTCAAGGGAAAAACTGGGGCTGTCAAATCTTTATTTACAACTGCTGCTGGCTGAAGTGTAATATCTACCGTTTCCAATAAAATTCCAGTACAATAATAAATCTCTACACTCCACAGGGCTTGTTAATAATAGAATCGTACTGTTACAGCTCTCTTCATGCCTCCATTTACAACAGGGATTTGGAAGTTTCTGCTTTTAAAGATTTTTATTTATTTATTTATTTGACAGAGAGAGAGAGAGAGAGAGATCACAAGTAGGCAGAGAAGCAGGCGTGGGGAAGCAGGCTCCATGATGAGCAGAGAGCCCTATTGCGGGGCTCGATCCCAGGACCCTGAGCCACCCAGGCACCACTGCCACTAATACTAATAGCAATCATTTTTTGGATTCTTACAGGATTCTAAATCCTGTGCTAAGTAATGTATACCCATGAGTTCAACTGATACTTGCTATGACTCTGTAGAGTCAGTACTATGCTGCCAATTTTACAGCTAAGGATTTGAAGCTTATAGAATAGAAAGAAGCAGTTTACGCCTCCTGGGGCTTAACATGTATATATACTATGCCAAATAGTCCACATGTATTTTCTCATTAATCCTCAAAAAAACCCCAATGGGATAAATGCAATCATCAGCCTACTTACAGACGAGGACACTGAAGATGAAAAGCCTAAAAGGACACATAGCTAGTAAAATCAAGGAGTCAAGTCAAACCAATGGCTGACTTTAGAACCATGTTTTTAACCTTTATGCTATCCAATCTCTAAGTAACTTTTATTCATTCATTCTCAAGCATTTAATGAGCATCTATGCCAGCCAGGCACTATGGACACCATGATGAAGAAGAATGACTCTGTCCTCATTCTGCTGATGCTCCCCTGGTTTATGGGCATGGATCCAGCTGGTGAATTGCTGGCCCACTCACACCAGGTCTGACTCCAAAGCTCAGGTTCTTAACCATACCATCTGCTGCAAAAGGCATAACAAATAGATTTTTTTCCTTAACATAACTCAGGAAATCTTAAGTTTCATATTAATTTGGCTTACCTTTTACAAATGAGTATTATTACTTTAAAAAAAAGGATTATCTGTGGGGGCGCCTGGGTGGCTCAATTGGTTGAGCGACTGCCTTCGGCTCAGGTCATGATCCTGGAGTTCCGGGATCAAGTCCCACACTGCGCTCCCTGCTCAGCAGGGAGTCTGCTTCTCCCTCTGACATCTCTCCTCTCATTCTCTCTCTCTCCCTCTCAAATAAATAAATAAAATCTTAAAAAAAAAAGGATTATTTGTGAACATTTTAAAGCACTGTAACTGGTCTTCTGTCTTCTCTATACAAACAGAAGCTTTCTTCCACATTATCAATGGGTAACAGAGCAGAGCTCATGAGAGAGTATCTGTTACAAGTCTCACAGGCATAGTAGTTCTGAAAGGAGCCAAGGGTAGAAACTGAAAAAAAAAAAAATGCTCACAAAAACCCTATGAGATATAAAGTTCTAGATGCACAGGAGGCAGCCACCTATGAGTTTTGAAGAAAGAAAATAAAGATAAAAACCTCTGTATTTGTTTATGTGGGCTAGGTTTTCAGACAAACACTGATGCTCAAAGCAACACAAATTGCTTCATCAAACACATAAAAACTTTCTAATGGCACTGAGTTCCTGGTCACATAAAGAATTAATAGGCCAAAACAGAAGAAAAGCTCCAACTCAGAGAGGCAAGCAGAATCCTTTTCTCTGGGGACCTGCTGATCTGGACAAATGTTCACACTGGTTTTGACAGTTCTGTAGAGAGAACTGTCAAGGCCTGATCAAGATTGGTGGGGGGAGGGGACCTGATGCATGTCCTCCCTACCTTAAGCTGGGACCACAATGGTTCAGGAGAGAAGCATATGTAAAAACAGGATTTTGTAAGTACATTATTAGCTGGTTGAACCTCAAGTCACAACTTTAAATGTAGTTTAATGTGGCCTAAGACTTGTGGTGCCTCTAGAAGCCTGGAGAAACAAATATGAATCAACTCTGGGGGAACTTAACTTCATCTCTGATCTCAAATTACTCCTGCTGATCATTTCTTGGGACAAAAGATAACAAAACATACAAGGAAACAAGTCATCGTAAATGAGAACAAGCAGAAACGAAATCAGAAATGGACAATAAAAAGAAGCCAAAGGCATTCAGACACTGGGTTATTAGACACAGAATACAGAACAAATATCTTTACTATGTGCACAAAAAAATTACAGACAGGCTTAAAAACATCTGCAGGGAATTTTTAAAATCACACAATGTATTTCAAAAGAACTAAGTAGAGTTTCTACCCACATCAAAAACAACAAAATAAAAACTTCAAAGGACAGTTTGAAGAATAGATGGGCATGGGTCGGCTCAGTCTACAGAACAAGCAACTTCTTATCTTCAGGTCAGGGGTTTGAACCCCATGTTGGGGTCAGAGTTTACTTAAGAAAACAAAAACAAAAACAACAGATGGGTGAATTGGAAGATCAATATAGCGCAGGAAGATAAAGCAAGGGAAAATACAAGAGATTAATAGTCATGGGAGGACAGAGTGATTCTTAGATTTTTTTTTTTTAAAGATTCTATCTATTTATTTGAAGGACAGAGATTACAAGTAGGCAGAGAGGCAGTCAGAGAGAGAGAGGAGGAAGCAGGCTCCCTGCTGAGCAGAGAGCCTGACATGGGGCTCGATCCCAGGACCCTGGGATCCTGACCTGAGCCGAAGGCAGAGGCTTTAACCCACTGAGCCACCCAGGCGCCCCAATTCTTAGATTTATTTAACTTCTGAAGACTCTGAAGGAAGGAGAAAAAGAGCACAGAGGTATTATCTAAAGGGAAAGGATTTTCTAGGAGCCATGAAAGACACCAATTCACAATTTCATGAAGCCCTATAAAAAAGAATCTCCTATCTAGATTCATCAGTGAAACTTCAGAATACCAAAGACAGCCAGCTGGAAGGAAAAAAAGACTACTTCCAAGGGAAAAAAAAAGGCAAGCTTAACTAATAGCTCATTTCTCAACAACAAAACTGAAGTCCAAAGATTCACTCTCAGTGATTAATTCTGCCCACTGGTGCCAAGGAAAGCTTCACATAAAACAGTTAAGCCAGGACAATAAAAGGCAGTTTGGGTTAAGGTCAAGGTGGGTATGCCTTCGTGTCACATGCTAACCAACTTCTGGTGACTTAACTTGGAAGTGTACGCGTTATTTTCACTTCGTATTTCTATCTCCCTGTTTCTTTTTTTTTTTTTAATGAACATTTTATACAGATCTACTGTGTACCAGACTCTACCTTTCACCTTCAGAATAACCTATTATGTAGAGTCTATAAGGAAAATAAACTTTGGAGTCTGAGTGACCGTAGTCAAAGTCACAAGGCTTTTCCATGTTGAACTCTGCCTAGATCATTTCTATGCTGCCTATTTCCCCCCTTCTCTGCTTTTACCTTACTCCTACCAAGAACGGAAGAGTACCTCTTCAGATGCCTTTCCCTAAAAGAAAACATGCTTTTGAAATCAAAATAAGAATCTCAGGGGCACCTGGGTGGCTCAGGGGGTTAAAGCCTCTGCCTTCCACTCAGGTCAAGCGCCGCATCGGGCTCTCTGCTCAGTAGGGAACCTGCCTCCCCTCTCTCTCTGCCTGCCTCTCTGCCTACTTGTGATCTCTGTCTGTCAAATAAATAAATAAAATCTAAAAACAAAACGAAACGAAACAAAACAAACAAACAAAAACTCAGCTGGCTCTCCTCAAGTACTAAATAATCAGAGTAAAAACTATTATTATTTTTTTTTCAAGTAGGCTTCATGCCCAGTGTGGAGCCCAGCATGGGGCTTGAGTGTAAGAAAGTAAACACTTTCTCTCTTGATCATTGGTGACATACTGACCAACTGACTCACTTTTCTATCTTCATGATCCCTCTATAAGAAAGGAAATAAACAAATTTGTCTAAAGTAAGGGACTACAGAAAATAATTTTTAAGGCTCACCCTCTTCAATAGCTCTGATGAATCGCAAAGACCTTTTAAGGAATGATTTATCTCATAATCCTAATAACACTTTTGACTCTACAACAATGGCAACAGAAATCAATGAGGTTTCCCAATGAGGATTTCCTATTTGGAATTTATAAATAACTACTAGATAATCATTTGCAATCCATACTCACCATCTACAATAGACATATTTCTAGATGTTGACATAGTCGTCTTTGAACTTCTGCTTCGAGTAGAAGTCTCTAGACCAGTGCCTAGTGTTAGAATAATGAGCAGTCAATATACAATTCTATCAGGAATCAATGTTTAAGACAGTGCCAAATGAAATGTACATAAAGTTACGTCAAAACATAGCTTATATAAAAAGTCAAAGACATATAACAAAAAACACATAGTCTACTCAATTTTCAAAAACTATACTTACAAAAAAAGAAAAAAAAAACTATACTTACACCACATTTGGTTCATACTCTTCCAATTAAAATATAAGGAAACATTTTGTAAAGTTAAGAATAATGAAAATGAACTATCACTAGAGGATGAGGATCTCTTTCTCTGGAAATTTTTAACTTTTAAGTACTATTTGACCAGCTTAAAATTCCTATGGATAAATATTTAATAAAAACAACTGAAAATATTCCTAGAAACAAATTTATACAATATACCAGGAAGTCACTGGATGACCAATTTTCTATTATTTGGATTATCCAAGGACAACAGTCCCACGTTAAATACAATGATGGCAATTAATGTTAATGACTGCTTGAAGATATCATATTGTTTTAGGGTAGCTTTCTTTTTGAACATATTTTATGAAGACACTTTATAAAAATGTGGACATTTGTATCTCATGATAGTAACAAAAATAATAATGTTTATGACCTGGAGTTTCTTCCTGCTGCCAATGGTCATTAAGCAGCCATTTTCCTTAGCTGCTCATATTTGCCTATTACTTTATACCTGTGAGAGTACCCAAAAAGTACTGTGTGAGGAATGTAGTGAAGTTCTTAAAAAAAAGCGTTAAGAAACATTAAAACATTATGTGCACGTGACCATTAAAATTTATTTAAGTAAACATATATGTCAGAACTATATTAAAGACTGACTTTATGCATTATAAAAACAAACTTTTAGGGGCGCCTGGGTGGCTCAGTGGGTTAAAGCCTCTGCCTTCGGCTCAGGTCATGATCTCAGGGTCCTGGGATCGAGCCCCACATCGGGCTCTCTGCTCAGCGGGGAGCCTGCTTCTCCCTCTCTCTCTCTGTGTGCCTGCCTCTCTGCCTACTTGTGATTTCTGTCTATCAAATAAATAAATAAAATCTTTAAAAACAAAAACAAAACAAAACAAAAAACCAAACTTTTAGAAGATTGCATAACTTAATTCTGACGACAAAAATACAATCACGTGCGTCCCATTCAATTGCCAAGTGTGAATGCGTGGGCAAGCCAGTACTCAGTGCTGACCTCTTCCTCTCTGAGACCCTCCTCTCAAGACTGAATTCTGCCCTCTTCCTCCTCGTCGGCCTCTTCCTCGGCCTCTTCCTCTATTGGCTGCTGCTGCGATGTCCTCATCAGAGTCATCAGCCATCTGTTCTGCCAAATCTATACTCATAAGGTCCTCAGCACTAAAGGCGGAAGCAGCATCCTCAGACTGAGATCTGAGGGCTCTGGCCCTTGTCATAGCCTAAGAGGGAAAGAGGAGAAAATACACATTAGTAGAAAATGCAGCATCCTAAGTCATTAATCTGGTTACTCAGATAACATTTAATATTGTCAAACTATCTGCACTATTATTTCTCACTAATCATGCTATAAAAATGCCAAGCAGGAGAAACTCTCCTTCCCCATCTATCAAATTCAATTCCTACGATTTGTCAGATCAATGTGCCATACTTATTTGTAAAATGAGACCTTTTGAAAAGGTATACTGAGAATGATAAAATTTCACAGAATCAAAACTTTTAGAACTGGTTAGAATATTGGCAATTGCCCCTAATTCAACATCACCATTTGTAAGAGACTGTCATCACCTGAGCTACTCTGTACAATGGGCTCTTAATAAATAACAAGAAAAATTCTTACAAAAAATGGCTGTTATCTCTGGGTGATGAAATTTTACAGTGCTCTTGTTTTCTTCTTAATTCACAAATCATAAATTCTCTACAATATAGATTTTTAAAATACTACTTTGGAATCAGAAAATTATGAGCAATAATCTCTCACAAAAATTAAGTAGAATTAAGAATAAAAATGTAAAAAAAGAGGGGATCCTGGGTGGCTCAGTTGGTTAAACATCCGACTCTCGATTTCAGCTCAGGTCGTGATCTCAGGGTAGTGAGATCAAGCCCCCACCAGGCTCTGCACTCAGTTTGGAGTTTGCTTGTCCCTTTCTTTCTGCTCCTTCCCGCAACCTCGCACTCTCAGATAAGTAACTATATAAAATCTTAAAAAAAAAAAAAAAAAAAATCAAGATAAAAAGAATTAAGTAGAATATAACAACTGAAGGCCTGGAAAAGAATAAAAGCTTAATACCAAGAATATGCCACAAATTTTAATTTGATAAGAAACTGCCCAGAAAAGACAAGTTTGAGATTTAATGAAATATTTTAACTCTGAAATGAGTACAGATTTTCTAATTAAAAATAAAATAAAAGTAATGTTCCCTGAGGTTCTCCCTTAAACCAATCAAAATGTTGTGAGGAGAATAGAAATGAGACATAATACATTCTCAATAAAATCAGAAAATAGCTCCAACTTCAAAATACAAAATTTCTGAAGAGTTAACGAATATAATGAAGATCTGACCTAAGGAACAAGGTAGAGAAGAGTCTTAGGCAGTATAAAGGTCTCTAAAATTGATCTATATATTCTAAGGGACCATAACTATAGTCTCTCTTGCTTGAATAAAAAATTCTGGGTCTAAGAACAGGTGGGGAGAGCATTTCTGAGCTCTCTGTGGTACCATGAAGTGAAGAGAGGCAGGGCTAAATCAGGAGATGAGAACAAAACACGTAGGGTAGAAGTAGGAGGGAAGCGGGAGGTGGGAGATAATCCAGCTGCATGATGATTATCTCAGCTTAAAGGAAATAATAGCTAAATCACGGCAGAAATGGCTGTATGGCATTACCGTGTAAAAAGAAAAAAACTTCAGGGAACATAACAAAAAATACAAAGAAAAAAATGGCAGAAAAAGATTTCAACTCATTTTTCTTGTCCCAGATGAAGGATGGTCAATCCTCATTATTCCCAGATTCTATACTTGTAAATCACCTACTTGCCAAAACTTATTTGTAACCCCCAGAACAATATTCCTGATACTTTTACAGTCATCTGTGGACCTGTGCAGAGTGGAGAAAATTCTGAGTCTCCTGACACACATGTTCCCAGATGAAAAACACTGGACACTCAGCCTTGTTGTTTCAGCTGACACTTTAAACAAGGATTCTGTGGCATATTTAGTGTCAAGGTTTTCACATTTCTGGGCTTTTGGTTGGTGATTCAGTGTCGCTGAAGTGCTGTCCAGTACTCTCAAGTGCAAGAAGGCTGTGATGCGCCTTACAGATGAAATACATGTGTGAGATAAGCTTCATTCAGGTATGATTACAGGGTTGCTGGCTCTAAGTTCAATATTAATGACTCAACAATATACATTAAAACAGAAAAAAATAAGAAAAAGGTTATGTACTGATCAGCGGATAAAAACGCTGTAACCAGTAGTTGGCAGGAACCCACTCCTCTATTTCCCCTAGGAGCAATATGGGTTAGTGTTCACGAGGTTAGTGTTTGCAGTAACACAGAACATAAAAAAAAAAAAAAACAAGAACCAGCTGTACTTTTTTAAAACTACATTTAAAGAGAAAAAGGAGACCTAAATTATATGATTAATAAGACAGAGCTAACTGATGTATTGAACTCTCTATTCTGAAAATATAGACTTCTTTCCAAGACCTCATGAAACGTTTCATGTATCATGGGGTACTAACAAAAATATCAACTAAGTTCTAAATAGTAAGGGTATTATATAGTCTAATTGCCATGAATCAAATCAGAAATTAATGATAATAAAACAAAAACACCTGCCTCCAAATCACAAAAATAAAATTGAGAAATCTGGAAAATAATAAAATACTAGAAAATCTAGAAAACAATAAAAATACTGTAGACTGGAATATATGAAATAAAGCGGTGTTTATAAAGAAAGCCTACAGCCTATTAAAAAAGAATGAATGAAAATAAGTAGATTTGATATTCAAAAGTTAGGACAAATAAAGCCCATCCAAAGGAAATTATGAGAAATTAATAAAGATACAATCATAAATAAACAAATCTTAACTAAAAATCCATTCAAATTAATAAATTTAAGAGCTGATCCTCTGGTACAAAGCCACATTGATAAAAATCACTAACTTAATAAAAAGGGAAAGAAAGACAAATATACACCATTAAAAATCAGAATCGAGGGGAAAAAAGATTGAGGGAAAATTAAAAGAATCTTGACAAAATACTCTTCAATCTAAGTAATTTGGATAATAAATAACCTAAACATATCCAACAATAGACACACAGTCTCAACAGACTAATAATAATATCAAAGAATATGTAAGAAAATTATTAAAGGAACACCACCCCCAGAAAAGGAACCACAACCAGCAAGTTTCACAGGTATTCTATCAAATCTTCAAAGAACAGATAATGCCATTGCTATTTCCATAGTACCAGAGCATAAAGAAAGCAAGCTCCCAATTTCTTTGTACAAAGCCAGCATAACACGGTACTGAAAAACTGACAAAAGGCTGCAGGCCCAAAAAGATGATTACAGTATCTTACTTATGAATATTAAAGCAAAGGGAATACAGGAACATATGGAAAAACCAGGATACCTGTTACCAGAAGGTTCACAAAGTATTAACAAGAATGGGGCACTAATAGAGTATGTTTTAATATAACTCACCAAACTAATAGAAAGGAGGAGGAAAAAATCCTACAGGCTTATCTCCACAGATGTCAAAAAGGCCCTTACTTCATCACCCATTCTGGATGTGAACAAACCCCAAAATCCTTCTTTTACACAACAAATACCCTAAAATATGCTACCCCTCCCCCCCACAGAGTCCATGCACTTTCCTGTGAGTGTTCTTACAGAGAGACCACTGTCCTTGGCACAAAACCCAAACCCAACAAAAATTTCTGGGCAAAGAACATGACCAGGTGTTTCATGTAAATATAAATGGTTTAGAAACATAAAAATCGCTGAGTCACTAGTAACAAAAGTAGCAGGGGTTAAAACAATAGTAAGAAACAATTTCCTCACCCTCTGGATTTTTTTTTTTTTTAATTTATTCATTTGACATACACAAGTAGGCAGAGAGAGAGAGAGAGAGAGGGGGGAAAGCAGGCTTCCCGCTGAGCAGAGAGCCCGATGTAGGGCTCAATCACAGCACTCTGGGATCATGACCCAAGCGGAAGGCAGAGGCTTTAACCCACTGAGCCACCCAGGTGCCCCCACCCTCTGGATTTATAAAGATCAAAAGATGTCATGATACATCACGATGACAAGGATGTGGGGGAAACAAGCACTCCCAAATACTGGGTAGAATGCAAACTGGGTGTCACATCTCCGGAGGGATATGGCAGTATCTAACAAAACTGTAAGATGCCTGTGTCCTTCTGTGATTATTTTTTGGAATGGATTACTCACCCTCATTTCCAAATTTTTACCTTTCCTCTGTCTAAATACCATAACTTCATTTTATCATTTAACATTACATTCAAATATTTTAACTCCACTTTTCTGTGCAACAGATTCTGGAGTTTACGGATAAATATTAAGTATGTTACCTCCAAGAATTAGCAGTGGAATTCTAATTGACCTCAGGAGTGTAGGTTCAGAGCCATTGTAAGTACAGATCTAGAGCCACTGGTAGGACAATGATTCCATATGCTTTTTTGTGAGATTCGAAAACTCCTATCCTGGTAGTACACCTCTGTTTTGTTTTGTTTTAATTGTGACAAAATATATATATCATAAAATTGAGCACCTTAACCATTCTGAAGTGTACAGTTCAGCGGCATTAAGCACATTCACCCTGTTGTGCAACATCACCATTATCCCCCTCACGACCTTTCTTGTCATTTCAAACTGAAATGGACACTCCATACCTGTTAAAACATAACTTCCTGTTCCCTAACCACTCCCTTCCCCTCATTACCACTACTCGATATTTTGTTCATACGACTGACTACTCTAGGGATCTCATTTAAGTGGAATCATATAATACTCATCCATGTACCTGTCTTACTTCGCTTAGCATGTTTCCAAGGTCTGTCCATATTGTAGCGTTATCAGAACTTCATTCCTCTTAAGGCTAAGCAAAAGTCCATCATCGCACATATACACCACCTTCTGTATATCTGCACACCTTTTGATGGCCATTTTAATTGCTATCACCTTTTGGTTATTGTGAATGCTATGCGCATGGGTGTACAAACATCTGGTCCTTGCTTTCAATTCCTTCAGGTAAATACCTACAAGTGTAACTGCTAGGTCACATAATTCTCTTTTTAATTTATGGAGGAATCATCCTACTATTTTCCACAGATTCTTTTATTATTCCCACCAGCAATGCACGAGGCTTGCAATTTCTCCATATTCTTGGCAACACTATTTTCTTTTTTTGTAATAGTCATCTTAATAAACGTGAAGCGGCTTTGGTTTAAATTTCCATTTCACTAGTGATGCTGAGCATCCTCTCATGTGCGTATTGGTCACCTCTTTATCGTCTCTGCAGAAATGTCTGTTCAAGTCCGTCATCCACTTTTTGCTGTGACTGAGTTTTAGGAATTTTTTTAATGTTCTAAATATTAATCATTTGCCAAATACATGATTTGCAAGTATTTTCTCCCATTCCTGGGTGTGCCTTTTCGCTTCGTTGACAGTGCTTGGTATTACAGTTTGAAAGAGGGTATCAACCCTGCCTCAAATTCAGGTAGAACACAGGAAACCAGAGGGTGGGTAAACTATGGACTATGAGTCAGACGAAGAACAGATTTCACATTTTTAAAGCACTGTTTAAAAACAAAAACAAAAAAACAACAAAGAAAAAACAACCATATACACAGACAAGAATACGTGACAAAGACCACATATGGCCTGCAAAGCCCCAAATATTTACTGCTTGGCCTTTTATTTAAACGTGACCTTACAGTTAAAGAAATTACTTAGAGCTTTTCAGTGTGAACAAGAGTCTTTAAAGCCTCTTGGAAGGACTAATGCTTTTGTCTGTTTGTTTAAATAATTTAAACCCAGTACTAGGATTCATGTTCTGAGCTAAATGATTCTACATGGCTTGGAGTTATAGATTGGGAAAGTCTCAAATTCCATTACAAGTCCTAAATAGTATGCTAAGAATAAAGACCATTTATAACATCCTATGGCAAGCTGACAAATTACCTAGGAAACCCCAATTACCTGCTAACGTCTTAAAATGTAGCTGAAAAATCTAAACCTAAAAGTGCTTTTTTTCTGAAAAACTCCCAAATGCAGTTTGTCATGTCCTCTACTACCTTCCTTTTATAAAATACTCACCAAATTCTTTAAAAGACTAATGAAAAACAGCTTAGGGACTCCAAACACAAAGGCCATGCAAAGAAATATTTCTGTAATTTATTAAATTGAAATGGTGAGTTAAGTTTAAATGATCCAAGGACCAGGAGTCATTTCTTTCTTCTAGTATTCATTCTTGCTATTTGGCAAACTCTTTTCTACTTGAAGGATGCTTGGTAAGACGAATACAAACATAAATGTGATAAGGGATCCCTAATCTCTAGCTTCCTCCTCTTAGCTCCCCCAAACCATCTTGTAAATGGTACAGCAGTTCCATCTACACTTCTGAGGGACAGTAATTTTTGATGTTCTGCATATCAAAAACTGTCAGAAATTTCACATTTTTAGCCACTCATTGGCTATGCATTGTATGAATGTTGTTATAACATAAAGTTCTGATAGGAGGACATGGTATAGTAGAAAAGCCTAGACTTGAAGGTAGAAATAGGTTCCAACTCCACCCCAACGCGTAACCTTTACTGTGCTCTCAGTGTCATTCGTAAGATGGAAACTGAAATTGTGCACATGACACATCTAGAAAAAATTCAATAAATGAAAATTTAATGAATACCATTTGCTCTTTCCCCTTTAAAACAGTAATGAATAAAACCAAGTAGGTAATGTGTTCTGCTTTTTCCATGACATCGATGTAGGGGAATGAGTCTGACATCGGGAATACAGAGTGTGAAATTCTGTGGATGGTGAGAGCTCTTAGTTCTATAATCAAGTACTGAAGGCTATTAATGAAAGGGAGGAAGGAGCTAGGAAGAAAACTGTAGTCAATACTGGCACTACTGTTAGTAATGTTAGTTAATGTTGCAAAATTCCCCATATTACATGATGAAGACAGTGTAAATTGTACAAAGGGAAGAAACCTGTCACAAAACTAGACACTAAGATGATCCTCCCATATCCTCTCTAAAGAAGGTTATTAACTGAGTTAATTTCTAAGTATTCTAACGAACTGGGACATAATTATTTGGGGGGGTGACTTCCCCACAGTAAGTACACGGCACCTAACTTTTGTAATAAGACAGAGAAAAGAAAAAAAATAATACCCAAAATGCCATTCCTAATCCTTAACATTCCAGATAAGGTGCATTATTGGATCAGGCTAAAATCCTAAATAGTCTGTATGGTATCACAGACGATGAAGTAAATCCCATACAGATTTGGCAATTTTACTTAAAAAAGAAAGAAAAAAGTCTGTCTCATGGCCTTTAGAGATGGTACTGAAGAATTATTTGGTACGTGATTTTTCCTCTGTCAGGATCTAAAACTGCCTCACATTAAAGGCTGTGGTATTACCTGGTGGTCATCAGTAGATAAACCACTGAACAGATTCCTTTGGAAGAGAGTTCAGAGGAAAAAGGAGTAAACTGAGAGTCCCATTCTCCGTAGGCAGGGTTCTTTTCTGTTTTAGTGTCCCAGGTATTGACTTTTACCTAAAAAGTATGTTTAAAATAAAGTAAAAAATATTTAAAGGGTGGTGATCCAGGGGGAGGGAGGAGAAGGGTGTCTTATTCTTTTTTGCTTACAGCAGAGAAAAGAGTGGAGGTTATAAAAGTTAATTTGAGGGATGTGTCAAGTTAATTTGAGGGATGTGTCAAGTGCTTCGGCTCTTTGTAATTCACCACCTGTCAGGGGCAGTTCTGAAATACTTAGGAAAATGACAATGGACTAGCAGGACTGCTGTATTAACTCAGCAAGGGTGACTCTTTAGGTTATGCTAGAGTTTAGCATTTTCTTTCTATATATGTCTGCCTCATCTACTAAATCAAGAGTCTCTAGTGGACACGAACCACACATTTTCCACATCTGTATTGCTAATGCCAAGTAGAACTGCTAGGCTATAACAGATACAAATGAAAGCAGTGAAGACAAAAATCCCAACAATAAATTAGTTATGAGATAACCTTTAAATAGTAGATAGCAATCATAAAATACTAAGGATAATCAGAAAATAGAAAAATGCATTTCAACCATGAATTCACCAAGCGCCAGACAGAGGCCTGAAGGTTCAGCAAAAATGGTGGCTAGCCAGAAGTTCCTAAACTGGGCTCGGGTCATGATCCTGGAGTCCCGGGATCGAGTCTTGCATTGGGCTCCCTGCTCAACAAAGAATCTGCTTCTCCATCTGACCCTTCCTTTTCTTTTCTTTTTTTTTTTTTTTTAAGATTTTATTTATTTATTAGACAGACAGAGATCACAAGTAGGCAGAGAGGCAGGCAGAGAGAGAGGAGAAGCAGGCTCCCTGCTAAGCAGAGAGCTCAATGTGGGGCTTGATCCCAGGAACTTGAGATCATGACCTGAGCCAAAGGCAGAGGCTTTAACCCACTGAGACACCCAGGTGCCTCTGACCCTTCCTTTTCTCATGCTCTCTCTCTCTCATTCTCTCTCTCAAATAAATAAAAAAAAAAATCTTAAAAAAAAAAAAAAAGTTCCCAAACTGCAGAGAAGTCGAGAAAGACCAGCATTGATGGTGATCAAGCCCACTACAACAATTTTGAAAGCCCAGTGGATGCTGTATATTTATCTATGGTAATATTGCTAGCAAAACCCATGTTTCTTCCTTTTTGCCCAAAATAGTATCAGTTTAGTAGAGCAAGATTTCCTCTTATGCTAGTAAGATGCTCTGAAAGCAATTATGTATTATTTTGATTACTAAGGACTCTTGTCATTTGTGCTCATCCTCCCTGCCCCCCCAAAACACATAATTAAGTACATTTTAGACAAGAGCAAAAGGACAGAATGGGAATATTGGGAAGCTGAATACTGGTAGGCTACACTGGTATAAATCACAGGCAGCTATCCTCAGCCAATCCCTGCTCAGGCCTATCTACCAAAGCAAGGTCCCATGGACTATTCTACATATATCTACTAGTCACTCTAGCTTAACAAACCAACACAGAAGGACAGTAATTTATATAAGAAATTACCTCTCGAACTTCATCTTCTTCATTAGTGTCTTCTTGTCTGCTTTCTCTGAAACGGCGTACCTGTGTTAAAACAGTAAATCAAAAATGTTTAGTCCTATCATGGAAATATAAAACAACGGGCTATGACTGATTAAGAAATGCTTTCCATCAGACCTAAAAACGGGAATTTTTTGTTTCAAATTTTCATCTAAATTCTAGCTAGTTAACATATAGTGTAATCTTGGTCTCAGTAAAACTTAGTGATTCATCACTTACACATAATACCGAGAGTTCTCATCATAGCAAGCGTCCTCCTTAATTCCCATCAACATCTAGCCCAATCCCCAACCACCTCCCCATCATGCTTCAGTTTGTTCTCTATAGTTCAGAGTCTCTTATGGCTTGCTTCCCTCTTTTTTTTTCTTCCCATATGCTCATCTCTTTTTGTTTAATTCCATGCATGAAATCAACAGTATTTGTCTTTCTCTAACTTGTTTCGCTTAGTATAATATACTCTAGCTCCAACCATGTTGTTGTGAATGATAAGATTTCATTCTCAGGGTCATGAGATAGAGCCCACATAGGGCTCTGCACTCAGTGGGGAATCTGCTGGAGATTCTCTTTCTCCCTTTCTCTGCCTCTCCCCGACTCCTATGTGCATGAAAATAAATAAACCTTTAAAAAAATAGTATCTGAAGTGGGCGGGCCTCTGAAAATCATTTTATCAAGTCAACTTGTTTATTGTTTGCTGATAATGGTCCTGGAGCCGAAAGGGAAACTAGAAAGATTCTTTTTTAAAAAATTCCTGCCCTACAGGCTCTTATAGTAATGTAATTAGGGAAAAGTTCTATTTGTTTAATAATATACGTAGCACCTCTTTGCTGAGCAAACACTACTGTACAAACACTTTACTGCCAAACACTACTGTAGGAACTGAAAATCCAACAATGAATAAAATAGTTACAAATTCTGCCCCCATGGAGTTTAGGTTTGTGTGTCTGTCTGCCTATGCAGCCAATAAACAAAAATCAAAATAAGAAGTTATATTGTGTTTTAGATGGCAGGTCAGACTGAGTTAATTTACAGCTAGACTAAGAAAGCGCTGTCATCTCTGGGGAACCCTTTATTTACTGTTTATTTCTGATGGTTTTCAACCTGCATAACCAGTTAGAAGCATGGCTTGATTATGAGACCAGAAGGGCATAAAAGATCCCCTGGGAATTTCTGCACAAATCTTGGTGTGTTTAATCCAGGGACACCTGTGTGCAAATGAGGACATGAGAGTTTATGCCTGGCTTCTCACAGGTCTCTAATGCCTGCCCATACTTTTTTTCTTGATGCGTCATATCTTTTGCCTTTAAATGAAAATCTCAGTGAGTATGCTCAGTAGAGTCTTGAGTTCTTCAAATATTCGAACTTGTGAACACTTTGCAAAAGACAGTAAGTATGCAGGGTGCCTGGGTGGCTCAGTTGGTTAAGTGTCTGCCTTCAGCTCAGGTCATGATCTCAGGGTCCTGAGATCAAGCCCCATGTGGGGATCCCTGCTCAGTGGGCAGCCTGCTTCTCCCTCTCCTTCCCCTTCCTGCTCTCTCTCTATCTCTGTCAAATAAATAAAACCTTAAAAAAAAAAAAAAGGAACAATTAAAAAAAAGACAATAAATATGCAGGGAGAAATAAACCAGGAAGAGGGTGAGGAATACCAATGAGAAGTCACATCTGAATAGAATGATCATGCAAGGTCTCACTGAGAAGGCAATTTATGAGCAAAGGGAATCAATCTTGCATAACTAGGAAAGAATATTCTAATCAAAGGAAAAATTGTGCATAAGGGCACTAAGGGAGGGGTGCCTGTGTGGCTCAGCCAATTAAGTTTCCGACTCTTGATTTCAGCTCAGGTCATGATCTCAGGGTGGTGAGATCGAGCCCCACATTGGGCTCTGTGTTCAGCTCGGAGCCTGCTTGAGATTCTTTCCTTCTCCTTCTGCCTCTCACGCTGCCCTAAATAAATAAACAAAATCTTTTTTAAAAAAGGCACTGGGGCAGAATGTATAGTATGTTTAAGAAATAGCAAGGAAGTTGCTGTGGCTATGAATGTTAAGAAAGTAACAGAAAGCCAGACTGAATAGGGTCTTGTAAAAAAAAAAAAAACCTATAAGGACTTTTTTTTAAAGGGAGTTGATCTCAAATATGTTAGTATCACTGACAGCTGAATTGAGAACAGAATGGGGGGGTGGAAGAGGGGCACAGTTAGAAAAAGGGAGAGGAGTTTGGAAGCTATCAAAATAATCTAAATGAGGGGCGCCTGGGTGGCTCAGTGGGTTAAAACCTCGGACTTCGGCTCAGGTCATGATCCCAGGGTCCTTGGATCGAGCCCCACATTGGGCTCTCTGCTCGGCAGGGAGCCTGCTTCCCCCCCCCGCCCCCGCCGCCTGTCTCTCTGCCTACTTATGATCTCTTTCTGTCAAATAAATTAAAAAAAAAAAAATCTTAGGAATAATCTAAGTGAGAAATGGCAACGTGATGGACCACTGGTAGTGATGAAGACGTGTAGTCAGATTCTGTATGTATTCTGAGTAATGCCAAAAGGACTTCTAGTCAGGATACAGGTGGCATAAAGAGTATCTACACAGAGAGCAAGGCTGAAAGTCAGCAATTCAGACTGGGAATATTACTGGTTTGAGGCGTCTATTAAACATCCAAGTAGAAACGTCTAGCAGGCCGCTGACTGCAGAAATCTTGAGCTGAGAAGGCATCTGGGCTAGGACTTTTGAAAATCACCACCAAACAGACAGAATTTAAGTCCAGGCAGCTGGAAGAGATTACAAAAGGAATATTGAGCTGAAGAAGGGCTCCAAGGACTGAATTCTGGGGACTCCCAATTTCAGAGGCAGAAGAGATGTGAGAAAACAAGAAGAGAAACTGAGAATATGCACCGTGAAGAGAAAGAAAAGCAGAAGAGCATGCGGTTCTAAAGCCAAAGAAAAAAACATTTCAAGAAGAGTTCAAGGGAGATTTAAGATGAACTGACAGTGGATTTAGCAATGGAGGTCACTGGTGACTTCCATGTGAGCAGCTTCACTGGAACGATGGGTCAAAACCCCGGATAATGGGTGTAAGGGAAAAGGGAGAGAGAAAAATCAGGGCAGCAAATACACAGAACTCTGAAGCAATTCTGCTGTAAAAGACAAAGAAAATGAATAGTAGCTAAAGGGAAATGGGAGTAAAGAGGGCTTTTTTTGTTGTCTAAGGAGAAATGACGGTATGTTTGTTATGATTTGGTAGAGGGGATAAAATTATTTTTAAAAGTGGCATAGTATGTTAATTGTGCTCTAGGCAGTAAATATCATACCAAAAGTGCTAGGTCACTCAAAGAAAGGAGTCAGAGTGAAAACACCAAGTAGATACCATGTGCTGGTAGTGTCCTGGGACTTTACATGCGTTCTTTGGATCCTCACAACAATCTTGAAGGAGTTTTTTATTATTATCCCCATTTTATAGATGAGGAACAGAGGTAGAGAGGCTAAAACGCTCACTGATAATTACATGGGTAGTAAGAGTTTTGATTTTGGACACAGGAAATTTGGTCCAGAGTCCACGCTCTTAGCTACATCCCCCCATCCCTCACAGACCCTCTCAGGAGTCGTGATAGCTCTCCAGGTAGGCACGCTCAAGTTACTTGCTTTTGTGTTTGTGGGTTTTTTTTGTTTGGTTTTGTTTTTTAAGAATTTTAGGTTCACAAAAAAACTGAGGAGGTACTGAGATTTCCCATATAGCCCCCCAGCGCCACACATACATAGATTCCCCTATTATCAACCTCCCTCCACCAGAATTGGCACATTTGTTATAACTGATGAACCTACACTGCCACATCATAACCATCCAAAGTCCAACGTTTGTTGTTGTTGCTTTAAGATTTTATTTTTAAGTAATCTCTACACCCAGCATGGGGTTCAAACTTACAACCCCGAGATCAAGAGTTGCGTGTTCCACCGATGGGGCCAGCCAAGCTCCCCCAAAATCTAGTTTATATTCTGGTTCACTCTTGGTGTGCTATGAGTCTGGAAAAAGAATGACCTGTATCCACCTAAATCAGAGTATCTTACAGAGCAGTTTCACTGCCCTGAAACTCCTCTGCACACCTACTCATCCCTTCCCTTGCTCCTCACTCAACCCTACGACCTCTGATCTTCTTCTTGTCTCTACAGTTTGGCTTGTTTTTTCAGAACATCATATAGTTGAAATCCTATAGTTTGTATGACTGTATACTTGATGATGTTGTATGGTTGAAATCATACAACCTTCTGCAGACTGGCTTTTTCCACTTAGTAAAATGCATTTAAGCTTCCTCCGTGACTCCACGGATTGACAGTTCCTTTCTTCTTGGCCTAAATAATGTTCCCTTGTCTGGGTGTTTCACAATTTACTTACCCAATCACCTACTGAAGGACATCTTGGTTGCTTTCAAGTTTTAGCAATTATGAATAAAGCTGCTATACACACCTGTGTGCAGGTTTTTATGTGAACATAAGCTTTCAACATCTTTGGGGAGATACCAAGGAGCACGACTGCTGGATCATATGCTAAGAGTATATTAAGTTGTTTAGGAAGCTGCCAAACTGTCTTCCGAAGTGACCGTACCATTCTGCATTTCCACCAGCAATGTGTGAGTGTTCCTGCTGTCCAGATCCTCACCAGCATTTGGTGTTGTCGGTGTTCCAGATTTTGGCCATTCTAATAGGTTCATAGTGGTATATTCCATTGTTAATCTGCTGATGAGATATGTTATAGAGCTTGTTTTCATATGCTTACTTGCCATTTGTACATCTTTGGTGAGATGTCTGTTGAGGTGTTTAGAATGTTTTTACATCAGGTTGCCTGTTTTCTTATTGCTGAATTTTGTTTTAAAAGATTTTTTTTAATTTGAGAGAGATAGAGGAAGGAGGAGGAGAGGGAGAAGGACAAGCCGACTGTGCACTGAGTGTGGAGCCTGACACAATGTTTAACTGGAAACCAAGCATTGGACACAAACCAACTGAGCCACCCAAATGCCTCTAATTGCTGAGTTTTAAGAGTTCTTTGTATTTTTTGGATAACAGTCCTTTACCAGATGTTTCTTTTATAAATATTTTCCTTCAAGTCTGTTGCTTGTCTTCTCATTCTTTTGACATTGTCTTTCACTGAGCAGTTTCTCATTTTGATAAATTCCAGCTTATCAATTCCTTCTTTGACAGACCATACCTTTGGTGTCGCATCTAAAAAGTCACTGCCATAGATTTTCTCCTATGTTATCCCCTAGGAGTTCCGTAGTTTTATATTTACATTTGAGTGGGATGTCATATTTTATATCTGTATTTAGTGGAGAAATGCATTCCTGCTAAAAATTTATGAACCCCATATACCCAGCATACTTGGCATGGAATATTATTAGTTGCACAACAACATCTCGAGGCTTTAAGAGAACCACGTTGACTAATTAAAAGCACTAAAATCAAAGTCAAAGGGAATAAGTTTTAAAAATAATGTTTCGTTCTGCTTAGAGGGAATCCAGAGGATATAGAAAATGATCCCCTATAATCTCATTATATATAACCAGTGATATATATATATATATATAACCAATGATAATGTTTGGAATATTTTCTTTCATTCTCCACACATACACACACAGTTGCATATAAAATAAAAATCACTGGAATCACAGTGTATATAGTTTTAAATCTACGTTCTTCAAAAGTGTAATTTTTAATGGCTGCACAGCATCTAGTATGTATGTACCCACATTTACTTCAACAAAAGTTTTCAAATTTTCCCACCGCAGACCACACTTAGATAAATTACTGCATACACAAATTTCTACCTCACTGTTGTCTTGGGAAAGGGCTGAGTTAAACAACAAATCTTAAGCCTTTTGATATGCCCTGACAAACTGCCTTTCAATGCAGCAGCTCAAGTTTGATACTCCCACCAGCAGCATACTAAATACTTCTTCTCAAACTGCTGTCACTCTGACAAATAAAAAATACATCTCAGTTCCTCTTAATATCATTTTCACATGCTTATTACCACTTTCATTTCTTTTGTGAACCACTTATTCATGTCTTTGTTCATTGTTTCTACTGAAATGTTTACTACTTTTCTTAACATTTACTAAGGTACTTTAATATTGTGACTAACAACCTTTCTTCTGCCCACATACAAGTATTTCTCCCATGATAATACATTTTGTTTTTTGATAATCTGACATGCAAGCATTTACAATTTCTGTGCAGTCAAACCTAAAGAGCTTCTCCTCTGATCTTTCCACTGCTTTTATGCTCAGAGGTCAATCTGAATTTCTAGATGAAATACCAAATCTCAAACAAAACTTACTAAAAAATTGAAAAGAACAGAAGTTTTCATCCTGAACCTCTAAAGTTTATTTTAAAGCATTTTCATGATCTTCAGGAGAAGATACTATCTATGGAGAACAAAGCTAACATTTAATGGATTTCAACCATGATTCTGTTCTAGACCTTTTCCACTTTAATCCTCATTTCACAAGCTCAATTTTATAGATGAGGAAACGAAACAAATCAAAGAGGCTAAATGGTGATTTAATAGAAAGAAAAGTCAGGGCTACTCTAAGGAGAGAGTGTCTAATTAGATTTCTCCACCCCAAATTGTTACCTCTTCATCGATTTTCTCTTCTAGGGCATCAATATGACGCTCTTTAAGAAATCGCTGTGTTTTTTCCAACTGGTATTTCACTAATTCCTCTATGGCATCTTTTTCTTCCTTGTCCACAAATTCTTGTACTGCTTCACCCATTCCCCTCTCTGTTAGAAGTGAGAGCTGCACATTCTATAAAAGAGGTACAAATCAATGGATGCAGAAAATCAGTATCTATTCCTTACCAAATAATTCTATACAAGCTAGGAAAATTAGAGTATAATGTTACTAGGGGAAAAAGATGAAAAAGTTATCTAGCTGCTGAAGGGAAAACAAATCAAAAAACAAAACAATGGACAATAAGTAAGCCTACTAATAAATTTTATGGGCCAGAAAAAGCCAAGTACAAATAAGAAACGAGAATAGTGGTTAAGACAGGTGGGAAAGCAGAGGCCTGAGTGGTTGGGATGTAGAGTCCTGAAACGGTAGCTGATGATTAAGAGATTAGCTTAATCAGTGTAGTGGGCAGAGTAACGGCCCCTTAAAGACATCCACATCCTAATGTCTAGGCTGTGAATATGTCACACAGCAAAGGAAAACTATGGTTGGTTACAGATGGAATTAAGGTTGCTAATCGGCTGGCTGTACAATCAGCAGATTACCAGGTACTAGGCAGGTGGACCCAGTATAATCACAAGCATCCTTAAAAGTGGAAGAGGGAGGCTGAAGGAGGAAGTTAGAGGGAGATCTGTCTGGGGGAAAATAGCCAGAGAAATGTAACATTGCTCGCTTTGGAGGTGGAAGGAGGAGGCTGTCGGCCAACAAACATGGACACCTCTAGAAACTAGAAAAGACAGGCAGTGGATTTGCCCCTCGAGTCTCCAGAAAGGAACACAACCCTGCTGAAACCTGGATTTTAGGCCAGTGAGATTGGTGTCAGATTTCTGACCTACAGAACTGTAAGATAACAAATGTGTTTTATTTTCAATAATTATGTTTGTGGAAATTTGTTTCAGCAGCAACAGGCAATTAATAGAACCAGATCTTAAAGGTGCATAAACTCATGACAATGAAAGTAGCTTCATCATCCTGTGCTGTCTTTAATTCTGAAATTACATCTAGACGCAAGAGAAATAAATCCTGGATTCAGAAACATGTAGCAGAGATAAAAAGGAAGAGCAAAACCAACAATAACAAAATAGCCAAAATAATACCATAGGGGCGCCTGGGTGGCTCAGTGGGTTAAGCCTCTGCCTTCGGCTCGGGTCATGATCTCAGGGTCCTGGGATCGAGCCCCGCGTGGGGCTCTCTGCTCAGCAGGGAGCCTGCTTCCCCCCTTTCTCTCTGTCTGCCTCTCTGACTACTTGTGATCTCTCTCTCTCTCTGTCAAATAAATAAATAAAATATTTAAAAATAATAATAATAATACCATAATTAAGCACTGATTCTTCTTGATGAAAAGTAACCAGAAGTGAATGTAATTCATTGTTTTCCCACTTAGTTCATGGACACATCGTGAAGATCCCTTTCGCTGCAAGTATCATTATACATATCCCGAATTAAAGTCGGTTATCCTCAGAGAGCCATTCTTCAACATGTAGGCTGTAATAAAGAAATTACCTTCTCTGCAGTCTGAAAATACTGTCTGACAAGGTCTTCTACTCTTAGGGTTGTTCCTTCTGAAGGTTTTGTATTGAGATTCCCAAAGTTGATCTCTTCTCCTAGAAAAAAAAAGCCCATGGAGAAACAGTAGCTTCTGGACAGCGTGAAAGTGCCCAAATTCATGGCAAGTTTGGCTCAGTACAGGAGTTAAGGCCAGACTTGGTTAAGGATCAGCTTGCTCAACAGGGTAAATTTTGAGGCAAAAACATGGCATTACTGCCAGCAGCTGCAGTCTTCCTCAAAATGTGTATTTCTCTACCTATCTGCAAGTCTTATGTCTCTTATAGCTATTCTCAAAGGATGATCTTTAGACTTGATATCCGAGACCATTTCAGGGAATGTCCAGGGACAAAACTCCTTTTGTAACGACACCAAGATGCTATTTACCTGTTCCGCTATGTTGCCATTTGCCCTGATGATAAAAAAAGCAATTGTGGGTTCCTTATTGCAAGTCAAGGCAGTGGCCTGGAATCGTACAACACTGACCACCACAACCACACGGCTCCAAGCAAAACAAAGAAAGCCAGTTTCACTTAAGAATGTCCTTAATGAAACTGCAGAAATTATTCATTTAATTAAATCTCAGCCCTTAAATATGTTCCTCTGTGAGACAAATGGGATGTCTGCTTACAGCACTTTTGCTGCATTCCTAAGCAAGGAGAGCTGCCTTAAAAATAGCAGGTAAGGAATCCAAAGAGTACTGGTAGGAAGCCAAGAAGCAGAGGGTCCAGGACTTACTCTGCTCATAGCCTTTGTCAGGAAAACAAATATTAACTGTCTAGCGGATGTTGGTCATGAAAACACAAATAGTGAAAAAAGACAGGATCCCTGCCAGTAAGGGCACGTTATGAAAATAAAGGTGGCAAATGCTCTGAGAGGTAAAAACAGAGAGTATGACACATGAAGAAGAAATACCCTGGTTCTTCTCAGAGAAGACTGAAAATAATGTGCACGTATCAGATGCAGCTATCATTTGAATTAAAACTGCAGAATAAATAAGATTCACTAAGCAACACAGGGAAAAGAAAAAAGTACTTGAGTCAGAGGGAAAAATACGTGGCCTGGAGGGTAAAGAGGCACGACGTTCAGTGTGCTTCTTGCAAAGTGCCTGAAGGCTAGTGAGCAGAAATCTTTTTCAAATCTCAAGATGGTTTAAAAAAAAAAAAAAAACCTCCAAGACAGTAGAATTAACACAGCTTCCTAAGTATGATCACTACATTTTACGATGCTGGACACTATGTTTAGACTATTTACACATATCGTATCATCTAATCCTCACCATGACTCTATGAGGCAGGCTCAGTCATTATCCTGATTTCACAGACAAGATTAAACATCAGAGAGCTTATGTAATTTGTACAATATCACACAGGTATTTGAGAAGTAGAGCTGGCAGAAGTAACAAAAAATGCTTTCAATGAAACATGTGAAAGGGTTGTTGTTTCTGTTTAGCAATTTATGTTTAAACCAAAAAGGAACAATTAGAATAAAACTATGTATGAAATTCAACTAACAATGTACTAGTTCTATAATCTGTATTATGATGAACGCTACACCCATAAAATCTCTAGGTATTGATAAGGATGGACAATTAAAGTAAACCACTATGAACAAATAACTAGATGAAACTCATAGCATAAGAAAATAATTATCTGATAAGGATTTTTTCCTAAAACAGTATTTATGAGTTCCATTTAAATATCTGAATGAATGTTTCAGGTTGTTTAACACGCAAAGAATCTGGTCACAACTTGACACTGAAAATTGAAGCTTATTTTTTTTTTTTTTTTTTTTAATATTTTATTTATTTATTTGACAGACAGAGATCACAAGTAGGCAGAGAGGCAGGCAGAGAGAGGAGGAAGCAGGCTCCCTGCTGAGCAGAAAGCCCGATGTGGGACTCGATCCCAGGACCCTGGGATCATGACCCGAGCGAAGGCAGAGGCTTTAACCCACTGAGCCACTCAGGCGCCCCAATTGAAGCTTATTAATAAAAAAACCTAAAGGGGCGCCTGGGTGGCTCAGTGGGTTAAAGCCTCTACCTTCGGCTCAGGTCATGATCCCAGGGTCCTGGGATCGAGCCCCGCATCGGGCTCTCTGCTCAGCGGGGAGCCTGCTTCCCTTCCTCTCTCTCTGCCTTACCTCTCTGCCTACTTGAGATCTCTGTCAAATAAATAAATAAAATCTTTAAAAAAATAAATAAATAAAAATTAAAAAAAAATTTAAAAACCTAAATAGCTTTACCTATAAAACAAGGGCCATATTTTTCTATAAAAATTCTCTGACTCGATAGCTTTAAGAAGATTATATTTCTTACAAAAAAAGCACTATTTCAGCTGGATGGCCTATTTTTATAAATGCATTTAAAATAAGGGCAATTCATTTTTATGAAATTTAATTAGAAATTAAATTAATTATCTGATCATGAGAAACACTAAACTATAAGATACTTCTTATTCCAAAAGACTGGAGTCTTCCTAAATCTTGTATACTCAAAAGCTGAAATACTTGAGGCAAAATTTGAGTATATTCTCTGAACACTAATAATGTACTGTCAATAATATATATTTTGAGCAATAAATCTTTAAAGATTTTTATCCAGGCAGCCCGAGCAATAAATTTTTAAAGTCTGTATGCACTGTTACTCAGCAGGCAGAACTGTTTCTAAAAACTTTATCTGCAGAGAAAGTCTTCCCTTTCTTTACCTTTATCTTCAGGTTTGAAACAGTTGCTATCAAATTTTTAGAAGACAAAAGATTTAATTATTCCAACTGCCAGTTTAAGATAGTAGAAATAATCATATAAAATATTTTCATTATTTTCTACTTCTTTTACTAAAGACTGAATTTTATAAACCCTGCAAAAAGCGTTTTTTAATTTGTGAAAATAACTAGCTTACCTGTGTTTTCCTTTTGCTCTCTACGCCTAAAAAAATGGATAACATCTTTTGGATTAGCTACCCGATCCACAAATTTCTGGCTAAAGCGAAGAACACTGAAAGGCTCAAAACCTCCACTATAGTCCACCTGGAAATATAAAACAAGCTATGAAGGCCAGATACAACAGTTTACCAATTTCATTATTTACATTTATGCTCAATACTTTAAAGTTAATAGATGTTCCATAATTCATGTTAAAGATCATGATGGTGTTAATACATTTTATTCTACTAAGATAACAAAGCTTCGAAGGTTTGTGAGTTTACACAAGACATTTTGCTTGACAGACCTAAAGTACAGCAAGTATTCCCACAAGGTATGAATGGTAACATTTCCCTGTGATAACACTAAGAGCCTAGGCACCGGGAGTAGCACCTAGAAAGGAGGTGAAATTTCTAAACATAAATGTTTAAACTTTCAAAACAGAGAAAATTCTCCACTTAAGTAAAAATGCCAGCCCTACATGCATTAATTAATGGGTCTATCATCTTAGGGGTATACTTTCACTAACTTAGGGGTAAGAAAGAAATGCTGGGAAAATCCACGCAGGAAAAAAATCCAACCTATTAGCTTTGAGAAATGATTACCCTCAAAGCACGGTATCTATTTAAAAGTCACAGTCAGGCAGGCTCTTTCTAAGTTAAGAAGTTTACAGCCACACAGAGACCTTTCCAAAGAGAAATACATACTACATTTTTTCCCCCAAGAGATATAATCATTTCCCCAAACTAGCTGTTCTAAAAACAGGCTCAGGGAACAGGCATCGTACCACATCACTAGCCTATCGAAACCTCCCTACCCTCTGCCCAGTTTACACCGTTCATCACACTTAGCACTGGCTGGCATTTTGTTCATTTATTTGCTATTTATTTTTTATATCTCTCCTCGTACCTCCACCTCCCGTAAGACAGATATATTCAAAACCCCCTCTGTTTTGTTGTCACTGTGTCCCCCAGCATGCAGAACAAAATGTACTCAGAAAGTATTTGTTTACTGAATCATAAAATTAATGAGGGTCCCTTAGTTGATACAATGTACTCTTGGACTATACTAATGAAAATATCTGTCCTTTCATTTCATGAATGATTTAATAATTCACTATGTTTAGGAAAAGGAATGCCAATTCTCTATTTAACTGTGCTGGCTTCTAATGGTATAAGGCGGACATAGATGGGAAACATGGCATCTTCTGCCTCGATAAAGAGAACTATGTGGTTCTCTCTGAGCAACTACGCATTATATCTCTACAGCAACCATGATATAAAAAAGAAAATGCTGGGGCGCCTGGGTGGCTCAGTGGTTTAAGCCGCTGCCTTCGGCTCAGGTCATGATCTCGGGGTCCTGGGATCGAGTCCCACATCGGGCTCTCTGCTCAGCAGGGAGCCTGCTTCCCTCCCTCTCTCTGCCTGCCTCTCTGTCTACTTGTGATCTCTCTCTGTCAAATAAATAAATAAAATCTTAAAAAAAAAAAAAAAAAGAAAATGCTAAATGCTCAGGCTACTGGGTCTCCCCAAAACTCTTCATACATTTCATCAGTGGTACTCCAGCTTAGGTTGATTTGTAATTTTCTGCTCCTAAGAGTCCAAAAACTCATTCACTAAGCAAACTTTACTGAGGAGTCCACAATGTGCTGGGCACTCCGCTAAGGCCCAGGGATATAGCTATAAAGAAGTTTAATCTTGTTTGTCAAGAAATTCACAGGTGACTGAGAGGACAAACATGTAAATAACTAAGTACAAGCAGAATGGGGTTGGTGCTTAACAAGTACATACAAAGCAGACCGAGGGCACAAGGTAGAAGCGCTGATCCTGAAGGGAGGTCCAGACAGGCTCTTGGAAAAGGGGAAAGCTTTAAGTGGATGCTGAAGGAAGTGCTATGGAAGGAGAGAAGCACATTGCACACAGCAGGATCAACATGAGTGAGGGTATGGAAGAGTAGAATAAACTCCACCGGACCCAGGGAGCAGTAACTTTTAGCCTAATATAGCTGGAACTTAGAAGGCTCTGGCAGAAAAAGTAGGTCAGTTTTGACCAGGTCATGAAACCCTTGAATGCCATGCAAGACTTGTTCCTATTAGCACGAGGGGATAATTAAGTAATTTTTAGGAGGAAAGACATGTAAGATTATGTTTTACCAAGATGACTCTGGCATTAGTGTGAACAGGCTGGGGTGGGGGGAGGGAGAAACTGAAGGCAGAGTCAGGAAAGAAGCTGCATTTATAGGCCAGATAAGAGAAGTCAAGGCTCAACTTCAGCAATGACAATGGGTACAGAAAGGACCAGATTACTTACTGTACAACAGGTGATATTTAATTCACTTTGATCCTATAACTGTATGAGGTACAAACCAAGGGACAAAAGATCCAACTGCTCGAGGTCATATAGCAACCCAGGCATTCTGGCTCTAGACTGTACTCTTTATTTTCACACTATATATCCCAGAGTATCTCAAATTTTAACATGCATACAAATCTCTTAGGGATCTTACTAAAACACAGTTCAGGGGGTGTGATGTAGTGTCTGAGATTCTGCATTTTAAAAAATTTCCCACGGGAGGGGCACCTGGGTGGCTCAGTTAGTTGGACTTCTGACTTGTGATTTTGGCTCAGGTCATGATCTCAGGGTTCTGAGATCAAACCCCACCTCTGGCTGCCTGTAGACATGGAGTCTGCCTGGGATTCTCCCTTGCCCCCTGCCCTCTGCTTCTTTCTCTCCCTCCCCTCTCTATAAGTAAATAAATACATAAATAAAGCAGTAATTGTTAGAAGGAAAGAAAGAAAGAAAGAAAGAAAGAAAGAAAGAAGAGTTTCTCAGGTGATGTCAGTGCTGCTGCTTTGATTACTTAAGTATCAGGCTTGGTGGTGGTGGGGCAGGGGGAGGGGGCTCTTGGACCTCAACAAGGAGGTCTAAGCTGGGGGTAAAGATGTGGGCATCATCACGCTATAGGTGGTCCTTAAAGCCATATGCCTAGGCTGAAAAGAAGGCTAAGAGAGAGGTTCAGTCAAATGTAACTCGAAGAAAAGAATGCCAAAGACTGATTCAGCCAGATGAAAACAAGCTACTGCCTTTGACAACTGAACGCCATCTTTTCCTCCTGAGATGACGGTGTCAGAGCCTTGGTTATAGTGGATTGAGGAACAGAATGTTAAATGAGCAATTAAGGACTATGTATTTTGAGTTTGGAAAAAAATAAAAACAAGGGCAGAACTAGTTCAAGGGAAAGGCATAGGGACAAAAAAAAAAAAGAGGTCTGTTACTTTTTTTATATGATGACGGAAACGAGTAAGTAGGTTTACAGGCAACGGAAGTGCTTCAATTTCTTTAAATTTTTTAATATTCTCAAATACTTAATTCTTTCAACATATTTCTCAAGCACTTGCTATATGCCAGAATTGTTCTGAGATCTCTGGGTACATTAGTCAACAACATTCACAAAGTTCCATGCTCTCATGGAACTGTTTTGTAGTTGAGGACACACAATAACCAAAATAAATACACTGCGTATAGTAGGTTATGAGGATGTGTTGTGGAGAACAAAGAAAGGGAGGGTAAGTGAAATCAAGAGTGCCAGTAAGAAGATGTGGGGGTGCCATCTCATTGGGGGGGCCTGACCAAACAGACATGAAGGAAGGGAGTGTGTGAGAGGACAACTGCAGGACACCATAGGGAGTGAAGGGAGAGAGATAGTAAAAGATGGAGTCAGATCCTGCCAACTTATTAAGCAGAACAATGGACTATTCAGAAAATGAAAAAAATAAGAAAAAAAATTAAACTTATCAGAATCAAACTGCGATTAACTCAAATCCTGACAGCTTTATTATTTCTGGTGCCAGATGGTGATTGCTTTTATTATTGTATTACTTTCCTTACTAACTTACAAAACAAAAAAAATTATGGAAACCGTGTAAGTACTGTCCTCTGAAAATCAATAAAGTTTAATTTCTCTACACAGAACTTACTCGCAGTCGGATAATAGGCTTCTCTGGCTGTCCAGAATTTCCCAGACGTTCTCGCTCAGCGTTTTCAAGCATTTCTTTAATCTCGAAATAAAAATATTGTCATGACTTGGGGGAAGGATACTACTGGCATCTAGCGAGTTAGAGGTCAGAGAGGCCACTGTAGGACTGAACTCGTACAATGCAACTTCCCACAAGGGATTATCTGGGCTAAAAGGTCAAGGCTGTGTCAAGGCTAAGAGATTTGACGTAGGCCTGACCAACCAAGCCATTTTCCACCTCCCAAGGACACATATAGGACCTTAGTCCAACAGAACTCCTAGGAGTTGATTTACAACAACTCAGAAAACAGGCTCTCTCAGCTCTAAGGACATTGTGAGTCTGGGTGCAAGCAACCCTGTGGACATATCCTCCTCACCTCCTCAGGGTGAAGCTTCAGACAGCTACCTACAGAGTGTCACGGGGGCTAAACATAGAAATAGACACAGAAACCGCAGTCTTAATGTGGGTTTTTGGGTCTAATCCTCTTGAAACCAGAATACTCAGCTATGTGAGTTACATGTGAGTTACATGCCCTGGGAAAGCTGTGACACTGGGTAAGTGATTTCATCTCCGGTTCAGTTCTTCTTTCCATAAAATTTGGACAATAGGATCTACCTACCAACAGCATTGCTGAGTGGATTAAATGCAAAATGCTGTCAACAGTGCCCAGGATATATACACAATCGATGAATATCAGTGATAACTGCAAGAATTACAGTGGCTGTCAGCAATTAATGGTATTAAGCTGTCCATTTACATCCTATTAAGTGCATTCGCACAACCTCTGCAGCAGCTCTGGAATTTCTCGGAGGTTGGGGAGGGGGAACCTGCATGGAAGGTGAGGTATGGTACCTATGCCAAAGCTACAAGTCACATGACAGGCACATTTGAAGATCTCATTGGAGGCAGCTTTCAGGGTGAAAAGGATGCTTAACAGAGATTATTAGAAATGCTAAGGCTTTCCTCATCCTCCACTGTATCTTCACCAACAAAAGCCACTGCTTGCTTTCAGAAATAAAATGAACAAATTATCAAATCAGAATAAAAAGAAAGAAAAGATTATGTGTAGATTTTTGAGGAAGAGGACTGGAACTGGGAGGGGCTTAATTAAAGTTTCTTCTACGTTTAATGTTCTTCCATCTCCAAGACTAGAAAAAAGGTCTTTGATACAACTGAACTCATTTATGGAACAACAGTGCTTCCTTGTGGGCTTCATGAGACTAGAACAAGGACAAAGACTTCTCCTACTCTACGGAAGTATTTAATTCAATGTAAATCACCTCTCAGCTAAAGCAGATCTCATCGACCTTTATCTAGAGGATTACCTTCTCCAAGCAGAAGCTCTGTATGGCCTGAGTTACTTTAGGATTATCTGGGTTAAAAATGTCTGGATGATCAGCCAGAACAATATCCTCCATGAAAAACTGCCGCACTGTGTGAAGAGGAATTTTCTGCATATTCATCTTTCTTCCTTTTACTCGCAGCAAACCGACATGTCTGAAATGAGGGAAATGAAAGTAGTCAGACTGTAAATTTTCTCAGGAAAATGTACACACCAAAACTACTGTATCTCTAAGTTCCTACAGAATATTTCTCCATAAAAGCATAGTCTTAAAAAAATCTTTTAACAACTTAACGCTGTATCATCAGGAAAAAAACGTTAACATTCATCCAAAGAATAAAATCCACTCATACCTCCCTGCCTGAACAAATACACACTCCAGTGAGGAAGATGACAGTAGGCAGGACACGACATTACCAGACCATGACAACAGACAGATTATGCCACATATATGGATTATGTGTGAGTATATACGTACACACACACATAAAATGAGTTAGCAGAATTTTGAAGGAAAAAAGCCAAATTTACATCCTACTACCATATTCTTTAAACCTGTTATTATCATCATAACAATCAAAATCTGAGTGGATTCAAAAGGTAAAATCCATTATAAAAATTGGGCTTATTCGCTGTTAACTACTTTATCATATAATTCCCCTAAAGAATTAAAATAAATGAGATATACTACAATGTTGCATTTATAACCAGAACAATCTCATTTAAATGGCATACAGTGAATTTGTTTATAAATGGACTTTGAGAAATTGGTAATCATCATCCACAGCATTCTAACTTGAAATTTAATTAGTAAAAGTGTTAGCCCTGAATATGCCTAATAAGCGGCAAAATAATTAACACTACTGGGACACTCTCCTTTGAAATGGCTTAAGATCTGGGAAACTAGTAAGACTACATCAAATAATCAATCTTCCTAAAGAAATCTATCATATAAAAAACCATCAGTACTTTGAACCTATGGGATGATTATAGCAAGAGATTTGTTTATTCTAATTGATTTGCAAAATACAATAATTACTTACTTCTTTACAGTTTCTCCTGGGGAAAGAGAAGTAACCACTGAACTTCCAGGTTGTGATACATAAAAGAGTTGCTGTTCATTTTTGGTTGGAGCTATTTTACACTCATGTTCATGGCCCCAGATAACAAGATCAATGAAGTCATCCAAAAATTGCTCTGGAATGAAGTTAGTACTTCCGTGTTTACTCCTATACAAAGATTTTAAAAAATAAATATAAACATCCAGAGCTATAGGAACACTTCGTATTAAGAAAAGATACACAGATCTTTCTTTCTCCATCCATTAAAGCCTTATTACAACTCTTATTTGTGCCAGAAACTATTCAAGGGATTAGGGGTGCAAAGAGAATACCTAATTCCTGCCCTCAACAGGTTTACAAATATGCAGGACACAGACAGGTAGGAGCCACAAAAGAGAAACTGGTCAGTTCCACACTGAGAGGCAAATTGCAAAAGGCTTTACAGAGGGCAAGTCAGGAAAGCATGAGCTTCATCTAGTGTGGCTGAGCAGAACGAATGCAGGGAAGAGCTGGAAGTGAAATCAGAAAAGCAGCAGCATGAGCTCTATCAACAGTGGAAACATATAAATTGATTTGATTATTCACAGAGGCAGAAAATGAAAGTGAGTGAAATCTAAACTTTGTAGAATAAAAACAAATCTCTAAACATGCCCAGCCATTTTTTAACATGTTTACTGAAAAGAATGGGAGTAAGAATTTCAGTCTTACCTGAGAGATGAGTTTTCAATATTAAATATTATGTGAAGATTTGCAAACTCTGGTTTTATACCTAGATTAGCTGTTATTATTAAAAGATACATGAAAACCCAAAGTGAGGAAAGGCAAGAAGTTTTCCCTAACACTGACTTTATCACTGGGAATTTAGTAAGTGTCCAAATACTTCAACCTAGCATTCACTTAAGGCAAATCAACATTCATTCATTCAACAAATATTTCCTGTGGGTCCACTCTATGCCAGGTGTCCTAGGCCTCTTCTAGATACCAAAGACATAGCACGGAACAAAGTCCTTGCTAGTGTGGGAACGAGCAATAATAAAATATGTACATGTGTGTGCATTAACCTGTCAGGTGGTGGTGGGTGCTATAAAGAGAGATAGAGGGAGAAGTGACACAGAATGGGAATGCTACTAAGCTACTATGGTAGTTAGGATAGGCCGCTCTGTCAGGTGACACATGAGCAGAGAACCGCAAGGAGGGATCGAGCATGCAAGGGAAGAAAGTTCTAGAAAGAGGGCTAAGTCCTGGGCAGAGTCCTAGAGCAGATGGGTGGCAGAGGTGGTGAGCGGGAACGTATTCAGTGAGTTCAAGGACCGCAAGGAGAGGAGCATGGCAGAGCAAAAGGAATGCAAGGAAGAGCTGAAAGTGATCAGACAAGCTGCAGGCTCCTGTAGCTAAGGATGTTTTTATGTAAACAAAACACTTATCTAGGGTATGACATAATCACAGTTACTGAAGAAACAGGTAACTCGAATACTGTACGATGTAACTGTGCTTTCACAGAACACTGACTCCTTCACAGAAGAGGGAATATTATACTGGTGGACTGACTCTGATTTGTGACTTAAAAGTTGACCAAAACAAAACAAAACAAACAAACAAAAAGTTGACCAAAACATTCTGATGGAAGTATTTTGTATGACAAGGTCCTCTTCTGCTTTGGAGTCTACTTTCTTTTTCAGCCACAGAAAGAAACCGGCCCATGTATAGACACAAATGGGAAATAAAGCAAAATGTAAAAGACTCATGAGAAGTCACTAACTAGGACAAACCCTGTTTTTTATAAGTCCATTGGAGCAATAAAAAAGTACATGAGAATGCAGAGGGTGAAAATGAGTCCAACAGTATTACAGAAGAACTGCATAATCATGTTGAAGGGGCTCTGGGAAAAGGAGCTGGCCTTTCGTGGCCTTTTGTGGCCAAAACACAAGTGGTGTTTTGACTACATATAGTAAGGCTAAAGACTAAAATAACTTACATAAACTATACACTCATTGACAAATTTGTTTCTCATGGGTAGAGGTCAGAAATTTTGAAATTACCTTATATGTCAACCAAGACTGAAAAAATTAAATTAATATGAGACTGACGCGCTGCCCACTGCGCTAAGAAGGCAACAAAAAAATTAAATAAATATATTACAGATATTATGATCCAAGTTTCTAACTGTTAGAGAAAGAACTCCCAAATAAGGAAAGGGAGAAGACAAAAATGAACCCTATAGGGCTGGATTAGAGTAAGTACAAACTTTTTTTTTTTTTAATTTATTTGACAGACATCACAAGTAGGCAGAGAGGCAGGCAGAGAGAGAGGGGGAAGGCAGGCTCCCTGCTGAGCAGAGAGCCTGATGCGGGGCTCGATCCCAGGACCCCGAGATCACGACCTGAGCTGAAGGCAGAGGCTTTAACCCACTGAGCCACCCAGGTGCCCCAGAGTAAGTACAAACTCTTGCTTGCGTGTGTGTTTTTAACAGCTACAGATGTATATACATGGGTTAGGATATATACACATATTCCCTTCACTCTGATCACTGAGGGCTAAGAGAGTCCCAGCAGCAACAAGCACACCTGGCGGACGTATTTGGGTCTCTAAATACTGTTCTCCAATAAAGGCAATCAGGGATCCTTGGCAAAGTGGTTGATTCCAGGACTAGGGCCAAAAATACAACATGAGCCTGGTGCACCTTGTGGTACCAGAAAGTGAAGGACATGATCAAAAATAAATAAAACGGAAAAGGGCATGTTGAGAGGACAAAGAAGCTAAACTAAAAGAACTCTCAGTGGTCAAAACTGGAACAATTTGAGCAACAACAACCAAAAAAAAACCCTGATAGTTTTGGATTATAACTCAAAGGATAAAATAAATATCCTTAAGTCCATACCAATAATAAATGAATAAATAAATGAGAGAGAAGGGACAAATCTTCCTTATAGAAGAATTTCAATTAATAAATGCAGAAAGAATGAGGGGAAATAAAAAAATAACAACTGCAACACCATAGTGTTCATTGCTGGAAATGAGATCCCCCACCAAACACACAAAATTAGCAGGCAAAATTTTAAGGCCGAACAGTATTTTTCCCAAAATATTAATTACAAAATGGGAAAATGGGACCTTGACCTTTGTGCAACTTAGCATACACCACCTTCATCAAATTATGAGTGTTACCATCACCAGCAACTAGCCATTATCAACATCATCCCACCCGTTCCCATTCCTGATGCTGCCATTCCACCTCTCAGTCTGACTGAAGTTCCTGGAATCACTCAGGATTTTTCCTTCTGACTTTTCCCTACTTTGGGAAAGTAGAAAGTGTAGCAGAATTGAGAAGCCCGAAGCAAGAGAAAGACAAACTCCCAATGCTGCAAAGTTACAGGGCGACTGTACTTATTAAAACTCTGGCCTGCTCCTCCTTCGAAACTCACTGTTCAAGAGCATATATAAAACAGAAGGCTGCCTTGTCATGCCTTCCTTTCACTGAGTGCTTAGTGGGTTTAAGTACCAGTATTTTGCATTCAGTAAGAGTCTGTTCAATAAGTAATAAATTATATAATCAGGCCCAAATCCCTTTAGATTCTTCCTTGTAACTTCTCAGGTCTGTCCTTTCCACATCACTTTCACTGCCATCATTTCACACTTTAACTACAGTTATCACGGTAAATCTTGCATCAAGTCTTCCTTTCAGTCGATCCTGAACCCTAACAACAGGTCAAACTTCTTCAAAATACTAACAAAAGACAACCGCTCTAGCTATATCTAATGTATTCTAGAAAAATATCTGCCTATATATACCAGGAGATGCATGTAAGAGTATTCATAACAAAAAGGCTGAAAAAAGCAAGACTCTGGAAATAATATAAAACATTTACCAACACAAGAAAAACTGTAACTGTATAGATCAGTGGAAATTAATTATGCTTTTAAGCATCAAAATGTATGAATCTTAGTAATGTAATGTGGAACATAATAAGCCAGCTATATAAAATACACAGAAGGGGGGGCGCCTGGGTGGCTCAGTGGGTTAAGCCGCTGCCTTCGGCTCAGGTCATGATCCCAGGTCCTGGGTTCGAGCCCCACATCGGGCTTTCTGCTCAGCAGGGAGCCTGCTTCCCCCTCTCTCTCTGCCTCCCTCTCTGCTTACTTGTGATTTCTGTCAAATAAATAAATAAAATCTTTAAAAAAAAAAAAATACACAGAAGGGTTCCAGTTGTTCCAGTTGTACCAAAACTAAATAAAATACTCATGACAGATAATTATGTGATTAAACAATAAAGAAAAGCAACAGACTGATTAAATAGAAATTAAAAATAGTGCTTCCCTCTGGGGTAAGCGGAAAGAAGAGGTTAGGGAAGCTCATGGGATAACACATTGTGAATGTTCTACTTCTCTGCTGAATTTAAAAGTATCCAATTTTATAGTTATTCCTGTACCTTATTCATATGTCATAAACATTCTTTACAGAGAAGAATGTATTGGAAACAATTTCAAAATGCAGTCACACAAAGCACATGGAAGTTTTGTGTGATCCTGCACTGACAACTTTCAAAGAATAAGAAACATTTTACAGAAACACGGAAGCCTAGAAATAGAGATTTGAAGAATCTCAATACTGGATTCAAAAATTAAAAAACAAAAAACGAAAAACGAATACTTTCACCTGTTCTGATGAATCACAAATAAGTTAAACCAAGAGTTTTCATCTTCTTTTGGTCTCAACATTGTTACTTTTTTATTGATGAACATTCGATAGAGTCTTTCATCTGGAATGGACCCTGAAACAGACATTATTTTAAAACCGGTTTTTTATTTGGTTGAAAAATGAATGTTTTGCTTCTAACTTATGTGCTTCTCTAAGTATTTCGTTTTCTTATCAGAGATATATTTGAAATCTGGGATCATTTACAAACGAGTAGGTTCCAGGTTCTTGCATGACAGCTGTTGAGAAGATACTTGCATTTTAAAAATGTTTTCCAAGTCAGGCATACATACCTTCAAAATCTGGAAAACATGGAATGAAAATTTGAAGTTTTCTATGAAAACTATTTCTATTTGAAGTTTTCTTAAATTCTTATTAAAATTTCCAATAATGTTGTTTTTCACTACCCCTTTATTATACATACTTTCCATCTAGTATACACATTATAATAGATATGTTAAAAAGGATGAGGTAAAAAAATAAATGTACTTAAAAATAATATTCTTTTTTTTTTTTTTTAAAGATTTTATTTATTTATTTGACCGATATCACAAGAGGGCAGAGAGGCAGGCAGAGAGAGAGAGAAAGAAGAGGAAGCAGGCTCCCTGCTAAGCAGAGAGCCTGATGTGGGGCTCGATCCCAGGACCTTGAGATCATGACCTGAGCCCAAGGCAGAGGCTTTAACCCACTGAGCCACCCAGGTGCCCCCAAAATAATATTCTTATATACTGTTTTTAAATAAAGATATTCTTCTTTTTAATAACATAATGACTTTTAAATAATTCTTCCTAAACCCCAAAGGATCACCTTAGACTAGTGGAGAAGGCCAACAAAAACAACTAAACAAACAAATTACACTTTTAAATATTGTAAAAGGGAAAAAGGATACTAAGAGGGCAAATATCAGTGAGGGGACAGTTGCTACTTTGTGCAGTCATTAGGGAAGGCTTTGGGGGAAAAAAGCCAGTAACACAGAAGCTAAGAACCTGAAAAAGTCTAACTTCTTTAAAAGAAATTTCTAGAGTGTGACCAATGGAATGGATATTGGAATACAGAACATATAAACTGGAAACAAAAAAGTCAAGGCATACAAAGTCCAGGGTATTAGGTTATCTACTTAGGCGTTGTAGTCCTGAGAATGCTGACAAAACTTGAAGATAGGTAGGTGAAAAATTTGAGGGGTAAGGGCAGGGCAGTTTAGCCAATTAGCCTTGCGGGGGCAGGATGTTTGCAGACAGGAAAGGACGTGGCAAGCAGGGAGAAGGGGGATTCCCACCCCACCCATCCCCACTGCTCCTGCCCTAAAGTCTGTAAGAAACCTGAGAGAGGCAGAGAAGCATGTGGGACACAGAACCTTAGGGACCAGTTTCCCTGCAGGTTGGGAAGTAGAGATACCATGCAGAAAAGAAACATGATATGAGGGACTTTATTAACTGTAGAGAGAAGGGCTAGGGTGAGAATGTGGGGTGGGGGACAGAGTCCAGTTAAGGAGAACAGAAGAGGATGAAATGAGAGTTTGGGAAAAAATGGATGACTTGAGCAATGCAACAGGTGGTCCTGAGGCACAATGGGATCTGTCTTAGTCTGAATGTGGGAGTATCACCCATTTTCTACAGATACGATCCCTAGCACTACAGTGATTAAAATACCTGTTAGCATCTTTTTTTTTAATGTTTTTATAAACATATAATGTATTATTAGCCCCAGGGGTACAGGTCTATGAATCGTCAGGTTTGCACACTTCACAGCACTCACCATATCACATACCCTCCCCAATGTCCATAACCCCGACACCCTCTCTTAGCATCTTTTTAAAAAGTGTATTTCACTCCTTGCTCTACCACTTAGGAAATCAGACTTTGATCTCATTTTCCTTATCTCTGAAATATAGATAACCATGGTATTTTTCTACTTTTTAGAAATTATGAAAACTGGACAAAGACTGTAGACTCCCTAGGTAAGTATTTAAATAAACCCCCGTGGGCGCCTGGGTGGCTCAGTGGGTTAGGCCACTGCCTTCGGCTCGGGTCATGATCTCAGGGTCCTGGGATCGAGTCCCGCGTCGGGCTCTCTGCTCGGCGGGGAGCCTGCTTCCCTCTCTCTCTCTGCCTGCCTCTCTGTCTACTTGTAATCTCTGTCAAATAAATAAATAAAATCTTTAAAAATAAATAAATAAATAAATAAATAACCCCCCGTTGTAATTACTCTTTTAAAAACATACAAAGAGGGACACCAGGGTGGCTCAGTCAGTTAAGCGTCTGCCTTCACCTCAGGTCACGATCCCAGGGTCCTGGGATGGAGCCCTGTGTTGGGCTCCCTGCTCAGTGGGGAGCCTGCTTCTTCCTCTCCTGCTCCCCCTGCTTGCGTTCTCGCTCTGTCAAATAAAATCTTAAAAGATATACATCTATATCTATTGATATAGATATATATACACACAAAGACTTGAATGAAGTAAACAAGGTCTTCTAAGGCTATTATACCAAAATCACTCAAAGATATAAAAACTATGTTAAGGGGGCACCTGGGTGGCTTATTTGGATAAGCTTTTGCTTTCGGCTTGGGTTGTGATCCCAGGCTGCTGGGACTGAGCCCCATATGGGCTCCCTGGTTTTTGGAGAGCCTATTTCTCCCTTTCCCTCTACTGCTCCCCTGCTTGTGTGTTCTCTGTCAAAAATATAAATAAAATCTCTTTAGATAAAAAAAAAGGACTATGTTAGGGCTACAGTGTGAAATTTTTTCCTAATTTCTCTCAGGGTACTTTACAGTTGATTTAACATGGAATATAATTTTTAAAATTATATACAATAAAAACAGTAAAGCTATTGCATTATAAAGTACCAAACTGAACTTAGTCCAAGGAGGACTCAACAAACAGACTTGGCACGCACTCTAAAAATATTCTTTGATTTCTTTGTTCATATGGAATCAAGCCTAGCAAATAGATTTTTACCTACTGGACACTAAATAAATTGAAGATAGCCAAGCTGATAAAGCACATATTCAGCATTACAGATGATAGCTCTGGACTAGCAATGTTGTAACAAAAATATAACACGAGCCACTAACACAGGCCAATTATGTAATTTTAAATTTTCTACTAACTACATTAAAACAAATAAAAAGAAACAGGTGAAATTAATTTTAATTTATTTTACTTAATCCAAGAGATTAATAAGGCATTTTACATTTTTTTCTACATCTTTGAAATCAGCTGTGATTTTATATTTACAGCATAACTCTATTCAGACCAGGTGCATTTCAAGTGCTCAATATCTACATGAGGCTGGTAGTTACTATACTAGACAGTGAAGCTTTAGACATTTCAAAGACGTCCAAGATACCAAAATGCAGTGTTTCTAATTACTGTGTAAGTCTAACATTCAGGATTCTATATCTGAGTCTAAAATAAAGAAAAAAAATCAACAGAAATTAAAGGAATTTTTTTTTTTTTTTGCCAAAACGGCTATTAAAAGTAGTATCAAGGGCTAATGGTCCTTATTAAATACTAAAAAATTTCAACCAAAACCTGCTATCATTTTTTATAGTCACTCATCAGGAATAGATCTGCCTCACTTTTTTTCCCAAACAGTAACAAAGTTAATTCCAGAATTTTATTTCAGTTGCTGTTTAAGTAACTATTTATTGACATAAATGATAAAATAAAACCATCTTACCTAAGCCATATAGAGCAATTTTTGTGCTTCCTTTTTGGAGCAAAATTGGACTAATGTCAATCTTCTCCACAGACACTGAACGTCCAAAGTGATTTACAAATCCAGCACAACTTAAAATATCCAGGGCGCAGAGTGCATCTGCCTATGCAAAATATTTTCAAAAGAATATGAATGTGTATCCAAAAATAAATAATCTACAAATCATATTATTACCTATTAAAGTATAATCCATATACTAACTAAAACACAGATTAGGATAGTGCCAAAACAAAATTACAACAGTAGAAGTATTTGTTACCTTTCTTCATTTAGAAATGACCTACTGTGACTGGAACCACATGCTAAATACAAAGTTAGCATTTCATCAAAACTTATGATGTGGGGGGAAAAAAAACCTACTTATGATGTGGGGCACCTGGGTGGCTCAGTCAGTTAAGTATCTGCCTTTAGCTCAGGTCATGATCCCAGTGTCCTAGGATGGAGCCCCACATCAGGCTCCCTGCCCAAGAGGGCAGTCTGCTTCTCCCTCTGCCCCTCCTCCTGCTCATGCTCACTTGCTCTCTCTCAAATAAATAAATAAAATCTTAAGGAAAAAAAAAAAAACCTTATATGTCTTGGCCACCAAAAATAAAAACCAGGGGCACTGGGGTAGCTCAGCTGGTTAAATGTCCCACTCTTGATCTCAGCTCAGGTCTCGATCTCAGAGGCTGAGTTCAAGTCCCTCATCAAAAAATAAATCAATTGGGGCGCCTGGGTGGCTCAGTGGGTTAAAGCCTCTGCCTTCGGCTCAGGTCATGATCCCAGGGTGCTGGGATCGAGCCCCACATCGGGCTCTCTGCTCAGTGGGGAGCCTGCTTCCTCCTCTCTCTCTACCTGCCTCTCTGCCTACTTGTGATCTCTATCAAATAAATAAATAAAATCTTTAAAATAAATGAATAAATTAATTAATTAATAAAAGCCAGCCCTGAAATAAGCGTTTGTAATAAAAGCAGACCTCTTAAGCCATGGAGGAAAAAACTGGATTAACTAATAATCTATGATATTAATGATCAGATGAAACAAAAATATTTTTAGTGCAGGACCTCTATTACTGCTTCCCTATCAAACAGGCAATAAGATGAACTAATTTAGATTTAAAACTGTTGATGAGAAATCATTTCCTACAGGTAAGATTTTGAGATAAGGGACATAAAAACACCAGGTAAACTTTATACAAATAAGAAGCTTTATACAAATGTTAGGTATTTATTCCTGATCCTGGTTACTTATTGTCAACCACAGCACTAATGAAATAAAAGCATACTGCACACACCAATTATTACTCCAGATTTTTAAAAATTATCTAAATAGCAGTATAAAAGCTTGTATGAATGATACAAAGTCAATTTGACTTTCCGACTCAATTTGACTAAAAATTTCTGGGAAGGACGAGAATGCTTTCCACAAACTAAAGTGATAACAAACTATAAAAACCCAATAATTACCCCTGTGGGATCATCATGATTGCCATGAATACTAAACACTGGAATCGAAATGTTGAGATTGTCATCTTGGTAGTTCACCCATGGAAACCTATAAAAAAAAGAAAAGTTAATGTTTCTATGAACACAAAAGCTATTTTCCCCAATATCCTCTAAAAAATTAATGCAATTATGGGCAAATTGGATGATAGAAATCGGCCATATAAGTGCCACTAGTTTGGCGCTTTAAAGAAATAAAATGACAGGCAAGAATTCATGTCAATTCAAGTCTGAAGCATCTCAAAGTACTACGCTTTTTTTTTTTTTTTAAAGATTTTATTTACTTATTTGACAGATCACAAGTAGGCAGAGAGAGAGGGAGGAAGCAGGCTCCCCGCTAAGCAGAGAGCCCGATGTGGGGCTGGATCCTCAAAGTACTACACTATAATGAAAACACTGCAATATATGGTATTTGTGAGTTATATGAAAGATAGGTAGGTATACCTGACTAATGGAAAGTAAAGAGACCTGAAGAATTTTGAAAGCCTTTGTAGGTTATTTGTGGAAGGGGGAGGGAAGGAAACACATCCACTTCGGAAACCAAGATTCAAAACTCCAGGTCTATCACTTATTATCTGTGCAATTTACAAGCCTCCCACCACTTCTGCCTAGTCATCCAGCTCCTCTTCTCAGAGGAGGAGCAATTAACAACTTCTAGTGTATCTATGCTATAGTATCTTACACTTACATTAGCAAATAAATGTACTTCTTCCTTCTTACACAAATGGTAGCACAATATAGGTTTCTGTACCCTGCTTTTTCATTTAATGTTTTAGAAACCATTCTGTATCAGTACATAAAGAGCTTCCTTGTGCTTTCTTTGGTGGGACAGTACTTCAATTGAATGGGCTATCATAATGTGTTTAAGTAGTTACTTAACCAACGGACATTTAGAATATTTCCATTTTTTTTTTACTTTACAAATAATGCTATACTGGGTAATCTTGTACAAAGTTGCCCTTGTGCAAGTGTCAAGAAAACATCTAGAAGGGAATTAGGTCAAAGGATGAGCAAGCATTCATACATTTGGAAATTCTGCCAATTTCCCTCCATAGAAGTTGGACAAATTTACACATAATATAACAGCAATGCATGAGAGACAACTTTTTCCCTTTATTCTATCAAGATAATAAGTTACCAAGCTTTTAAATGGATGCCCATGATTCTAAACCCGAGCGGCATGTTAGAATCACCTAGGAATCTTTTAAGATCTAACAATGCTGATGACACATTCAGACAGTAATTGACCTGGAGACTGTCATCAGTATCTTTTTTAATATTTCTATGCAACTACAATATGCACCCAGAATTGAAAAATCACTGATCTATGCCATACTGACAGGAGAAAAACATCTCAGTAGAGCTTAATTTTATATCTTTATTATGAATGAATTCCATTTTGTATTTTTCATATTCTTATGTTTAAATGCCACTTCTTTTGTGAACTCAATCTGTATTCTTTACCTATGTTTTTATCAACTCTTGAATTTTTTAAATTGATTTGAAATAGCTATTTACCTACTGGGGAAATGAGACCTTAATTTGCAATGAGCTGCAAATATTCTTCCTAGTTGAACTCTTGACTTTTCATTTTGTCTCAGGAAGTTTCTGCCCTGCACAAATTTACTTTTACAAAGACAAACATCAATTTCACTTTTATGGCTTCTCAGTTTGTATCATACACAGAAAACCCTTTTCTGCATCTAAATTTTAAAACAACGTCTAATAGTTTCTTCTAATACTTTTGTTGAATAATCCATATTTTTCCTGCAGGTACAAGATACCACCTTCTCCAAATACAAAATTCCTACATGTATTGAGGCTATTTATGGAAGCTCTACACTCTTTCACTTATCTGCCTATCAAGTCATGAGGCATATCACATTTTTAATTACTGAAGCATTGTACTTTTTCCAATTTTATCATGAAATAATTGACATACAACAATGTATAACTTTAAGTAGTACAATGTATTGTTTAAAACACATATACTCCAAAATCACCACTACAGCTAACACTTGCATCATCTCACATTTTTTTGTGACAAGAACATCTGAAATCTACTCTTAGCAACTTTCAAGTATAAAATATTACCAACTACCATCACTGTGTTGTACATTAGTCTCAGAACTTACTCACTTTGTAACCTGAAGTTTATACTCTTTGACCAACATCTTCCCTTTTCCCTCAAGTCCTGGCCCTGGTTAAGCACCATTCTAGTCCGTTTGAGTTCAGCTTTGTCAGATTCCATATGCTAAGGGAATCGACACAGTATTTTGCTTTGTCTGACTTATTTCAGTGTAATGCCCTCAAGGTCCATCCATGTTACAAATGGCAAGATGTCCTTCTTTCTCATAGCTGAACTAAGATTTCATGTTCACATATACATGGCACATCATCTTAATCCATCTTTATCCATTCATCCAACTGACAGACCCTTATGTTCTTTCCATATCTGGCTACAATGGATAATGCTACAATGAACACAGAAATGCAGATGATCTCTTCAAGACCCTGTTGGCATTTTCTTTTGGATACATACCCAGAAGAGGACTGCTTGATCATATGGTAGTTCTATTTTTATTTTTGAAGGATCCACTATACTGCTTTCCATTGTGGCTTAGTCAATTTACATTCCCACCAACAGTACTTAAGAGTTCCCTTTTCTCCACATCCTTTTGTACATCGGTTCTCTCATCTTTTTGATGATACCCATTCTAACAGGTGTGAGGTGATATCTCATTGTGGTTTTGATTTGCATTTCCCTGATAACTAGTGATTTTGAGTACCTTTTCATATACCTGTTGGTCATTTGTAGACCTTCTTTAAAAAAAAGTCTACGCAGTTCCTTTGCTCATTTTTAATTAGATTGGATTTTGCTCTTTTTGAGGGGAGGGGGCTATTGAGTTATATAAGTTCTTTACATATTTTGGGTATTAACCCCTTATCAGATAGATGACTGTATTTTCTTCCACTCCATAGGTTGCTTTTTTATTCTGTTGATGGTTTCCTTTACTGCGCAGCAGCTTTTAAATCCGAGGTAGTCCCACTTGTTTATTTTTGCTGTTGGTGTCAAATCCAAAAAAATCACTGCCAAGAATGATGTCAAGAAGCTTACTTCCCATGCTTTCTCCTAGGAGTTTTATGGTTTCAGGTCTCACATTCAAGTCTCTAATCCATTTTGAGTTGATTTTCGTATATGGTCTAAGAGAGGGGGCAGCCTCACTCTTCTGTATGTGGCTGTCCAATGCTCCCAGTACCATTTATTGAAGAGACTGTTCTTTCCTCATTGTACAGTCTTGGCTCCTTTGTCATCAATTAATTGACCAAATAAGCATGGGTTTATTTCTGTGCTCTAATCTGTTGTCATGACCTATATGTCTGTTTTTATGCCAATACCACACTGTTTTGATTACTATAGCTTTGTAATACAGCTTGAAACTAGCAAGGCTAATGTCTCCACATTTATCTTTCTTAAGACTGCTTTGGCTATTTGGGGCCTTTTGTGGTTCCACACAAATTTTAGGATTACTTGTTCTATTTCTATGAAAAATACCACTACAATTTTGATAGAGATTGCACTGAATATATAGATCACTTTGGGTAAGAAGGATAGGTTAACAATATTAATTCTTCCAAGCTGTAAGCACAGAACATCTTTCCACTTTTTGTCTTCACTTTATTTCACCAATGTCATAGCTTTCAGTATACAGATCTTTCACCTTGATTAAGTGTATTCCTAAGTATTTTATTCTTTTTTTATTCTATTTTTTCCTTAATTTCTCTTTCTGCTCATTCACTGTTAGTATATAAAAATGCAGTTGGTTTTTGTGTACTGATTTTGTATCCTGCAGCTTTACTGAATTCATTTATTAGTTCTAACAGTTTTTTGATGAATTCTTCCAGGCTTTCTAAATATAATATTGTCATCCACAAATAGAGACAATTTTACTTCTTGTTTTCCAATCTGGATGCCTTTTATTTCTTTTTTTTGCCTAATGGCTCAGGCTAAGACTTCTAATATGATGTTGAATAGGAGGGGTGAGAGTGGGAATCTTGTGTTGTTCCCAATCTTAGAAGAAAATTCAGCACTGGGTATGATGTTAGCTGTGGGCTTGTCATGCATGGCTTTTATTATGTTGAGGTATGTTCCCTCTATGCCCAATTTGTTGGGGGAGTTTTTATTATAAAAGGATGTTGAATTTTGTCAAATGCTTTTTCTACATCTAGAGATGATGGTATAATTTTTATCCTTTGTTTTGTTAATGTGGTATAATATACTTTCACATCTAATGGGGCTAATCTTTATTTAGCAGTCTTTTCCTTCAGTTTCTCTATTTTTTGTTTTCTCTACTTTTCCTACATGAACTAGTAAACAAGAAAGGAAAATTATTCAGAATACAGCACAAAGAGATAAAGTAAGTAATAACAATATAACAAAAAGATTAAGAGACGTAAATAATATTCAAAAAGAGAAAGAATAGGAAACATTTGAAAATGTAATGGATAAGTTGCTGAGGAAAAAAAAATCGTCAGACTGAAATGCATGATACGCAAGCAGAACAATTAGAACTAAATCCACAGCTAAGTGTGTCATAGTAAGACTGCGAAATGCTAAGAACAATGAGAAGAGCTTAATAGTTACCTTAGTGTTTTCTTTCTGCCAGTTACTATTCTAAGCAATTTTCTAATTAATTCAACTACTTCTCACAACAACTCTGTAAGATCACCACTATTGTTTTTTCATTTTGTAATTATAAAAGTAAGGTAGAGCAAAGCCAGGACAAGAAATCAGAAGGTCTTGTGCCAGAATCCACGCTTTTTTTTTTAAGATTTTATTTATTTATTTGACAGAGAGAGAGAGAGAGAGATATCACAAGTAGCCAGAGGCAGGCAGAGAGAGACGGGGGAAGCAGGCCCCCCGCTGAGCAGAGAGCCCGATGCGGGGCTCGATCCCAGGACCCCGAGATCACGACCTGAGCTGAAGGCAGAGGCTTAACCCACTGAGCCACCCAGGCGCCCCAGAATCCATGCTTTTAATCACAAAGTTATACTGCTCTTCCAGCAGCTAACATGAGAGCAGACTTCTCAGCAACAAAAACGGAGAGTTTACCACTCAACTGACACTCAATGAAAAAACTACTGAAAACTGTACTTTAGAAAGAAAACAGAATCCAGAGAAAAAACTGAAATACAAAAAGCAACAATAGTGAGCAAAGAAATATGTGAACAGGTTTGCAAAGGTGGGTGGAGCAGTTTAAAAATAAGATGAAAGAAAGAAGAAAACACTAAAGTTCTGGAGCTGAATAGAATACAGGTAAAGATACTGATCAGAATTCCTGAAAACAAGGCTATATGTTAAAAATTATAGGAATCATTTAAAATCCAATTCTATACTTAGCCAAATTATCAATCCAGAGTAAAGTTAAATACAACCATTTTCTTACATACAAAAATCTAAAAATTTACCTCCCAACATGAACTTACTTTAAAAATATAGATAAATAGTGCTCGCTTCGGCAGCACATATACTAAAAATATAGATAAATAAATAAATAAGAAATAAAGACAAATAGGTCTGTTCCCATGGGTAGTACATATACATGTATTTCGTAGCTGTGAGCACAGACAGCCTAGAAGCAGGGAAAAGATAATAGCAATGTGTAAGTCCAGCATCTAGATTTGGGCTTTCAAATACCATCCTCCAAAGTAACCAGGGCTCCTTGAAGAAATGGATGAGTCTAAAGCTAAGGAAGGGAAAATAAAAAATCAGCTTGGAGCATCTTCTAGCACCAAAAAGTAAGGGGGTAGGGGGAGGATAAGGGTATGTCAAAAGCAGATAGGAACCAATCTGAAAAAGCACCCAATGACTAACCCTAGAACAAATTATTTGAGCCACAAAGTAGATTATAATAGTATTAAATTATAATCCAAAGAAAAAAAAATGGGTTCATACTGATATAAACAAGCAAATAAGTTCCTACTGATAGACAGCTGAGTAAGTAAGTTAACAAATGCAGGACAATGGACAAATCTTCCTTACAGAAGAATTTTATTAATAAATGTAGAAAAATATGGAAATAGAAAATCACCATTAAAACACCATAGTTGTAACTGCTACAGGCAAAAACCACTGATGAATGCTAAAATTAGTGGACAAACTTTAAGGAAATACAGAATAGGTGCAGAGACTCAAAATAACTCCCTCAAAATTTTTATTGACTATGATAGCTTCAATATGCCCATATCCTGTGACACTCCTTCCTCTCTCTAGGAGGTGGAACTTAAATCCCTCTCTGAGTGTGCGCTGGACTTAGCAACTCACTTCTAATGAACGGCATATGAAATGGGAAAAATCCTAACTTGACGGCAGAGAACCCTGGCAGACACCACCTTAACCAAGAGATCAAGGTTATCCTCACCAGTAATAAGCCATGTTGACAGCTTGCACTCTGGATATGCTATGAGAAGGGCACTTCACCTTTGGAATATTCTTTCCTGAAAACCCACAATCCTGGTGTAATCATAAGAAAAACCCAAACTGAGGGACAGTTTATGAAATAGCGGACTAGATGAAAGGTAAGAAAAGACAGAGAAACTAGCATAGTCTGAGGAGTCTGAGAGAACATTTCAACTACGTGCAATGTGGTATCCTATACAAACACATGAGACTATCTTTACAACATGGCGTTCTAGGAGGATATCATCAGTCAGTCCCAAGTACAAATCATAAGGAGGGAAAAATGATATATTTCACTAAATAAGAATTTGTCAACAAAAGTCTCCATAAAAAAGTCAAAAGATAATCCACTAACTGGAAAAAAAATACATGCCTAACAAATATTTAGTTTCTAGAATATATAAACAACCTCTATGAATTCAACAGGAAAAGACAAAAATCCCAATTTTTAAGATGGGCAAACGAGGGCGCCTGGGTGGCTCAGTGGGTTAAGCCACTGCCTTCAGCTCAGGTCATGATCTCAGGGTCCTGGGATCGAGTCCCGCATCGGGCTCTCGGCCTGCTTCCCTCTCTCTCTCTCTCTCTCTCTGCCTGCCTCTCTGTCTACTTGTGATCTCTCTCTGTCAAATAAACAAATAAAATCTTTAAAAAGAAAAAAAAAAAGATGGGCAAACGAGATGAATAGGAGAAGATACCAAGGTGTACAATAAAAATTTGAGAAGATACGCAGAGATATAAATAATTAGGGAAATACAAATTAACATAATATACAGAAAATTCAAAGAATTACACTTACTATGAAAACAGCTTTTGGTGAAAGTGAAATCGCTAATTGTTAAGGTGTTTGTCTTTTACAAAAAATACTATACACAAGAAAACATTCACTTAAGCATTTAAATATACTTACTTACTAAAACCAAAGTTGACTGACTGATCGCTGAGAATTTCAAATGATACAGGACGGTCACCCATGCAATATTTTCTCAGTAACTCGAAACAGGTATGTAATGTTTTCCTTGAGGGCTTATTTTCATGAAAAAGATCACCACCTAACAAAATAAAATCCACCTAATCAACAGAAAATAGTGTGAAAATTAGTATGTTTTGTGGTTAAGAATGTTAAAACTATAAAGAGGTAGAAAAAATCTCATAAGATACTACTGAATATGGAGATTTAAAGATTTTTATTTTATTTTTATTCAGGGGGCCTCCCAGTCTGTTGATTAATTTGACTCCAACTCCGGTTCCTAGGCTACCTTTCAAAAAAGCCACCTTCAAATTATTATACCAAACCCCTAACTCATGCTACCCAAAGTGATCATTATTTTTGTTGTTGTTATTCAAATCAAACATAAACTTAGCACTTTAATGCACCTCTGGACAAGACAGCCAGTTCAATTCAGGTCATGATTTCAATTTATTCAATCATTATTTAGGGCTCCAACAGGCACTGGAACCTAAGGAAATAGCTATCTACAAAACAGATGATGTCCATGCACTCAGTAAACACTGACAACGTGCAATTCCCTGTACCAGGCACTCCAGATATAAGTGATGGATAAAATACAATCTCTTCCCTAAATGGTTCAGAGTCTAATGGAAGAGAAAAAGTGTTACACATCTGAACAGAACTCAAACTCAGACATGAACTAGAATGGATATGTAAATAAACCAGGAGCAGCAATGACATCACAATCAATTCTTTTTTTTTTTTTTTTAAGATTATTTATTTATTTGACAGACAGAGATCACAAGTAGGCAGAGAGGCAGGCAGAGAGAGAGAGAGAGGAGGAAGCAGGCTCTCTGCTCAGCAGAGAGCCCAATGCAGGGCTCGATCCCAGGTCCCTGGGATCATGACCTGAGCGGAAGGCAGAGGCTTTAAACCACTGAGCCACCCAGGCGCCCCATCACCATCAATTCTAACTGAAGGGAAGAAACTCATCTGAGGACAAGGAGTCCAGAAGACTATGTAAACACGATGGCATCTGAGTTGCACGTCAAAGAACAAATGAGACTTTAAGGAGAGCATTCTAGAAACAAGAGAGAAGCAAGAAATTATACAGAAAAAAAAGAGTACAACACGTTTTCAAGAAGTGTATAATCTACTTAAAGAAACTAGATTAAATTCTTAATTACAAAAAAGAGCCCAGCAGTACAGATGACTTGAGCTACAGAAGTGAGGGGGAGGGGAACACGGCACTCCCAAAAGTGTCACTTTGGCATGTGGATTGTTTTGAGCTAAAGGCAGTTAAGACTTGGCAGACTCAGGAAAAGCTTTTTTTTTTGTCCCCCCTTAACTGCCTGAAAGAATTTAGACAGGGGATCTATACCAGGAAGAGCTATTATCAGAGATAACTTTTATGACAGAGAGACATCTCTACATGGCATGGCAAACATTTGCTCTTCCCATCTTCCTATAAATTATCTTCCTTCCCTTTGAAGGCCTAGACCTCTACCCCCTTTCTCCTTGGCTCAGGATGGCAATATAAGCCTCAATTACCTGTCAGGGAGTCTAATATTTTATGAGGCTCCTGTACATACAAAATTTGTTTTGCTCCTGTTCATGTGTCTTATGTCGATTTAATTATTAGATCAGCCCAATAACCTAAAAGAAAAGAAGGGAAAAGTTTTCCATCCTACAGTAGTCAGAGAAGCTTTAATAAAAGTGTGGGACTTAAGCTAGGTCTTCAAAAATGAACAAGATTTAAGGAAGAAAATGATCACAAAAGCACAGAAAAAAAAACAACATCAAAGAAAATAAAACATTTCAAGGGGAAGGGGGAGTAGCAATCGAAATGATATAGTTTCACTTCTGCAAGATGAAAAGTTCTGGAGGCTGGTTACGCAGCAGTGTGAATGTGCTTCCTGCTGATGAAGTGTACACTTAAAAATGTTAAGATGGTAAATTTTGTTATTGTATTTTACCAAAAATTAATTTTTTTTTAATTTTTAGAAGCTAATTTGTGACTCCAGGGAACATTGAAAAGGACATAACTTGCTTCCGTGGTATTCATGCAAAAATTCATCTAATCATGAGGAAATACCAGACAAATCCAACTGAAGAATATTCTACAAAATGATGAACCTGAACTCTTCAAAAATGCCAGGGTCATAAAAAGATAAAGGCAGCCCGAAGGAAAGCAGATTACAAGAAACTAAGGGGGCATGACAATTTCACGCAAAATGTAATCCTACTTTAGGACCTGGACTCTTACCAACCTGCCCCCAAATTGCAGTGACAGACATTACTGAGACAATTAGCAGCATCTTTAAATTATGTAACAGTACTGAATCAACATTAGTTTCCTGGTTTTGATAATTGCACAGTGCTATACAGGCAATTTACTCTCAAATGGTTCAGAAAATCTCCCCCAGCTCACGCTCTCTCGCTCTCAAATAAATAAAATCTTAAAAAAAAAATGGTTCAGAAAAAAAGCGTACATGTGCATATGTAATGAGAGAGAATAAAACAAATATGGTAAGTGGTAAAATGTAGGAAAATCTGGGTGAAGGGTAAAGAGAGGGAATTCTTTGTACTATTCCTGCAACATTTCTATGAGATTGATATTGCTTCAAAATTAAAAGTTAAAAAAACAAAAGACTCCAAGAAATCAAGGCGTAAAAATAAGGCTAGTTAGTGGCACAGACACACAAAATAGGGGACTTAAAGTCAGGAGAAATTTAGATTTTAGTAATAAGAAATACTAAATAAAAATTAAGGGTAAACAGTAAATATGCACCTGGAAGTACCAGCATGGGGCTGTGGGGGAGGGGAGTATTAAAATTAAGGAACACAGGAATGGAAACAAGGAAACAGAAGGGAAGCAAAGGACAGAGTAGAAGAAAGAAGCTTATGCTCAGGAAAAGTAGTATTTTAGTACCCAAGAGAAAAGAGAACACAAGTTTCTCTAGTAGGAAACACACCTCCTTCAGCTCCAAGTTCTCTGTCCTCAGGGAAAGAGGAAACCCTCTAAAAATGAAAAAGTACTAGATAGTCCCATATTCATTAACAAATTTTTAAGAGTTCCCTACTGCTTGCTAGAGACTTCCTAAATTTTAAGATACAGTGTAAACAAGCAGAAAAGATTTTTCACTCTCCTGTTGACCTTCTAGTGGAGAAGATCAATAGTAAACAAGTAGGCAATTCAATATATTATTTCAGATGGTGTTATGAAAAAAATAAACAGAGTAACTGAAGTGTTTGGAGACATCCAGGAAGACCTCTCGAAAACGGTAAATACAATGTGCTCCAATGTGAACCAGACGTGCAAAGGTCCCAGAATAAAACATGCCAGGGTGGATGGAGCACAATGAACAACGCAGAGAGTTGCAGAAGTCTCTTGGCAGGGGCTAGATCGAGTTGAGCTTTGTAGTTTGAATTTTACTTTAGCATCAATGAAAGAGGCTTCTTGAAGATTTCAAGCAGCAGAGAGATATGATCTGATTTATGATTTTAGAAGTTCACTTTGGCACTATACTGAATAGATGTAGGGGGAAAGAACGCAAATAGACGAATGGGGAGCTATTGTAGTCCAGCAAAATAGGATAAATAGGATAAAATAGGATAAAAGTTTTGGGTTAAACATATAAGCACAAAAACAGCTTCCATATATGTTTACGAGGAAGAACCAAAGGACTTGCAGAAAAACGGAACAAAACGAGGAAGAACCAAAGGACTTGCAGAAAAACGGAACAAAACTCTGAGGAAAAGTCAAGGTTGAAGACACTAATTTGTAAGTCACAAGCGTTTGTTTACTCCCCAGCTCTCTCCTGAAATGTCCAACAGGACATTCCTTTGGCTTGCTAGAATGTTGACTGAATGTCATATTGGAATCTCCAACTCAAATGGTCTAAATCAGAATTCATCACCTTCCCACATAAAGTACCTCTTCCTTATTTAGAAGCTATTTCTATTATTGGTATCACCATTTGCCCAAACTTAAACATACACCAGGACTTTGTCCTCTCTCCTTCCCTCAACTCTACCCCTGATGTATGCAAATCCATATACTTCTTGCATCCACTTCCCCTTTTCCAACCCATGCCACTACTTGAAAATAGTAGTCTGGTCACCAATTCGTGCAGTATCCTGTCACCAGGAGATTTTCCACTGAACTGGGTACAAACTCCTCAATCTGGCATTTGAAGCCCTCCTTAAGACAGCTCAGACAGTGTTTTTATTCTTTTCAGCACGTTTTCTTTTTTTTTTCTTTTTTTTTTTTAATTTTATTTATTTATTTGACAGAGAGAGAGAGAGATCACAAGTAGGCAGAGAGGCAGGCAGAGAGAGGAGGAAGCAGGCTCACTGCTGAGCAGAGAGCCCCATGCGGGGCTCGATCCCAGGACCCCGAGATCATGACCTGAGCCGAAGGCAGAGGCTTAACCCACTGAGCCACCCAGGTGCCCCTTCAGCACGTTTTCTAACATACGGCCTACTAATAAGCCAAACTGACCTGTTGCACCCTAACATACCTCATACTGTCTCATCTCTGTGCCCTTCCTCCTGTGAAATGTACATTTTCTATGCTCTTTACCCATCAAAAGCCTACTCGTCCTTCAAAGCTTAAGTTAAATGCCACCCCGTTCTTTTAAACTGATGTTGCTATGCTCTATAAAGAAGAGAACTTTATATGGGATCTCTTCTACCTCTAAACTACTGGAAAGGCTGTTTATAATTTTCTTCTGGTTCTTAACACATAAGACTTGCATCTGAGCATTATGGACATCTGTCTTATCTCACATACTGATATCCTGTATATTCTTGGAAAACAGAAACTATGAGTCATCTTTCCATTTCAAACAGAAACTGCAACAGGATCCTGCACTCAGTAAACACCCCATAAATACGTGTGAACTTTCACAAACTTCTAACCAAAACCAACTCCTACTGAATTGAGGTCACAAAGCACTTAAAATCTGCTTTGGGTTTATAGTATATTGATATTTAAGCAGGCAATGTGAGCATATGAACCTGTAAAACAAACCTCCAACTTTAAGAAAGAAAAAGAGTCTACTACAGACTAAGGGAGCACAGCAGAAACTGAAAAAATGTAAACCAAACTCACTTCATTTTCCCGCGCAAGTCTTAAAATCTCATCCAGTGTTACAAATGTATCATTTCCTCTGACTGCATCTTTCTCCATAAATCCCAGATGAATATCTGTTGCAACTAAGATTTTAAATGTATTTTCATCATCACTATATAAAAAAAGAAGAAACATTTCAAGATAATTCATTAAAAGATGCTCAAGCAGATTAAAACCTAAATTTAGAAGATAAATAATAGTAGTTATACAGTAAAATCACTTTTCTAGCTTTAAAATAGTCTGAAATTTTGAAGCAATTGACAGATCTTCAGTTTGTCTGCCTACACCTAATTCAAAACAAAACAAACACACATAAACTTTAAAAGGTTCTGTGACTCCTTTCAAAAAACTATAACCTTATTTTTTTTTAAAGATTTTATTTATTTATTTGAGAGACAGAGATCACAAGTAGGCAGAGAGGCAGGTGGTAGTGGGGGTGGAGGGGAGCAGGCTCCCCTCTGAGCAGAGAGCCCCATGTGGGGCTGGATTCCAGGACCTGAAATCATGACCTAAGCCAAAGGCAGAGGCTTAACCCACTGAGCCACCGAGGTGCCCCAAAAGTATAACCTTATTACAACTTCAGTTTTATACATTCCTTTGGACCCTGGACCTAAAAGCTTCATTGTTTTCCAATTCTATTCCATCCCAAAATCCCAAGAGGATTTGACCCCCATATCTAAACTTGCTTTTTATCTATTTTGCACTCTTTCAGAAAATTCAGAGTCGACTGTTAATTTAAAAAGCCCTCCCTCTTACTTTATAAGTAGATTTTATCCAAATAAACTAGTAACTTATATTCAAGCCCCTGAAGACACTTGCATGATTCTATTCCCTACACAAAGTTAGTGTTTCATTAACAAATATGGCCAAGTAACAAAACAGATTTACAATTCCATTTGAATTTGGTAGTATTCAAAGGTACTCTCATGTAAAGCAGCAATATAGTAGTTGTTAATAGCTTCTTTAATGTAACTTCTTTTAATGTAACTTCTAACTTCTTTAAAATACTCAGGGAGCCTGGGTGGCTCAATTGGTTAAGTGTATGCCTTAAGGATACACTTAAGGGGGGCACCTGGGTGGCTCAGTGGATTAAGCTGCTGCCTTCGGCTCAGGTCATGATCCCAGGGTCCTGGGATCGAGTCCCGCATCGGGCTCTCTGCTCAGCAGGAAGCCTGCTTCCCTCTCTCTCTCTCTCTCTCTCTCTCTCTCTGCCTGCCTCTCCGTCTACTTGTGATCTCTCTCTGACAAATAAATAAAAAAAATCTAAAAAAAAAAAAAAAAAAGGATACACTTAAGGACTGAGCCCCTGGAATCCCTGGTTAGTAGGGAGCCGGCTTCTCCCTCTTCCCCTGTCCCTCCCCCAGACTCAAGCTCTCTTTCTCAAATAAGTAATAAAATCTTAAAAAAAAAAAAAAAAAAAAAACTTTCTTTAAAAAACTTAAGTATCTATGATCTCACTTCAACTTCCACGTGTAAAGAAGTAGGTATTACTATCTCTAAAAAATGAAAAAACTGGGGCACCTGGGAGGCTCAGTGGGTTAAAGCCTCTGCCTTCAGCTCAGGTCATGATCCCAGGGTCCTGGTATCAAGCCCTGCATCGGGCTCTCTGCTCAGCGGGGAGCCTGCTTACCTCTCTCTCTCTGCCTGCCTCTCTGCCTACTTGTGATCTCTCTCTCTGTCAAATAAATAAAAAATAAAAATCTTTAAAAAAAAATGAAAAATGAAAAAACTGGGGCGCCTGGGTGGCTCAGTGGGTTAAGCCGCTGCCTTCGGCTCAGGTCATGATCTCAGGGTCCTGGGATCGAGTCCTGCATTGGGCTCTCTGCTCAGCAGGGAGCCTGCCTCCTCCTCCTGTCCCTCTCCGCCTGCCTAACAAAATAATAAAAAAAACTTTGTCAAAAAAAAAAAAAAAAAAAAAAAAAACTTTAAAAAAAAAATAAAATAAAAAATAAAAATAAAAAATGAAAAAATAAAAAAATGAAAAAACTGTTTACAGAGAAATTAAATGAGTTATCGCACAACTTATGTAGAAGAAACAGGATTTAACCACTCGGTCTATTTTCACTAAACCATAATAAAATTAAAAAAACTTTCACATATATCTCCAAATTAAAATCTTTATATATGAGATTTTTCTAGAAGAGATTTCTCTTCAAAAACTTCAAAGATGAGATATGCACATAGTTCCAATTGCTACATACACACCGGTTGATCTAATACTTTCAAGATCACATTAACCTAAGCTTCCATATCAACTTACAAAATATCTTCAAACGAATTCCCTCACTGAAACATCTAAATTAATCTGAGAAAGGCAATTCTGTTCCAATTATATATATACAAAATGAAGAACTGGAGGCAAGGCTCAGAGAATTGCTAACTTCCCCATGGTCACACAGTAATAATCAAGGAACCGAAATCAGGGTCTTCTGATTCTTTCACTGATTTTCATTTCACCCAAATTTATTTCCAATCTATTCAATGCTAGAACAATTTACTACTCTAAAACTCTGCTTAAATAGGCTTGCATTGACCAATAAGACTTCCTCACAAAAGTTCAAGAATATTGATAGCTTCAATATTTTAAGAGAAAACCTAAGAATATAAACATATATACTACAGTAATATATCAAATTATTGCAAGGCCTCAATCTATAGCTGTATATTATCTTTTATAATTATAAAAAATTATGCTAATTTTTTAACAATGTATTCTTTTTGATGGCATTTCTGTTTATAGGCAAGTTATTTACTGCTAATTTTTTATTTTTTTATTTTTTATTTATTTATTTTTTAAAAGATTTTATTTATTTATTTGACAGACAGAGATCACAAGTAGGCAGAGAGGCAGGCAGAGAGAGAGAGGAAGAAGCAGGCTCCCTGCGGAGCAGAGAGCCTGATGCGGGACTGGATCCCAAGACCCTGAGATCATGACCCGAAGCCGAAGGCAGCGGCTTAACCCACTGAGCCACCCAGGCGCCCCACTGCTAATTTTTTAAATAAGTTTTTGTTCATGGTGATTATAGTTGATGGGCTTCAAGAAATCCAAAGCAAAAAAGATTCCAGAAGACAAGTTCTTACAGGGCATCTGCAGGACTCATTTCTATGTATGGTCAGTTCAGCTCCTCTCCGACTAGTTTTCTCTCCAAGTACTCCTGGGTCCTGTGATCAAATACGTCAGGAAACTCACTCGATTCCAAATTCTAGCAAATTCTAAAAACAAAATTACATTATTGTCAAATACATTATTTTAAAAACTACCGATTTCAGGAATCTCATTTTCATCTAAGCACCGACTATATTTTTATTTTTTAAGAGCTAACAACAGAAAATAGCGCATCTCCAGTTTAGTTTTACCATTTTAGTTTCACCACTATGATTAAACTACTGGAAACTAGTGTTTATTAGATAAATGGACAGAGAGGGTCACAGACAGTAATTCTGGTTTAGCACACAAAACAACTCTGGATGTGCACAGGCTACCCTGGGGCATGGAGAAAATCGCGTATTTCATGCTCAACCACAGGGCTGTTTAAAGGAATGGTCCAGTTTAGGAAAAGAGAAGGCCCCACGTTTAAATCTAGCGTAAATAAACAGAAACACGTGCTCCGCGGAGAAACGCCCGAGAGGCCACTGGAAATGGCAACATATTCGGGGAAGAGCCGCTGCCACAGCGAAACCACCCCTCCTACATCCGGACTCCTGGTTCCTTCCAAATTCTGAGCCTCCACACACCGTCCCCCTCGCCGCCCCTGGACTCTTTGAAGCCAAAACCAGAACCTCCAGGCCTTAACCGACTCGTCCCACTCTTTCCAGAAAGTCAATCCACTCAGGACGTCCGCCCGGGATCCCACAAAATAGGAGACGGTAATTCCTTAAATTACCCCACACCTACACTCTCCAAAGCCCCCGCACCGGACCCCCAGGCTGTCTTTTACCCGGGAAGAAGGAGCGGGATTCGAGGGAAGGAGCAGGATTCGTGAGAAGTAAAGCAACAACACTTCCTGAGCCTGCACGCAAGGAGCCGCCGGGCCATAAACCTGAATTAGGCGGGAGAGGAAAAAAAAAATAAAATAAAAAAGCGACTCTTCCTCTCGCGATACCTCATTGATGCCGTAGAGTTCAGGTCTTCTTCGGTTCTCATTGGCTGCCGAATGCCGTCAGGGAGCCGGGAAAGCGTCGGCGACGCCCCGCCCTTAAGCAGGAGCCAATCCTGAGAAGCCGAGGGACGACCCCGGAAGCGAGGTCCGCGACAGCGATGTTTCCTTTCTTTAAGGTGGGTAGGTCTTGCATGTCCCGGACCGCGCTCCTTGGTCCCCTCGCGCCACCTAAAAACTCCTGGGCCCTTGGGAGCGGGCCACCTGTCGAGCCCGGCTGAGCCCTGCTGTTCTAGCCGCGTCGCGGGTCTGGGGTGGGGCTGGAGTGGCTTCTCCACTCTTGGCTGTTTGGAAGGCCGCAGGCGCGACTCCGGGCCTGGGAAATGACCAATCGGGGCCAGAGGGCCGGGACTAGGGGCTTTCTCCCTCACTCCCACTCCCCAGAGTTAGAGCCTTCGGACCCTTTTACTCCCAGCTTCCCCTTATTTTCACCCCTGGATCCCGGTTACAGCACGTCTATATTGCTTTGTGCTGATAGCAGTAAAATACAGTACAGTTAAAAAATAATGTGAAACTTTGGAATGAAAAAAATCTGACCTTTTAGTTCCATTGAAGCGTCCCTATCTAGGGCAGGTTGTTTTAATCTGTACGAAGTTCGAAGTTCGGCGCCTTCACCTGTAAAAGGGGGTTTATGCCCGCATCTGTCACTGAGTTATTTCTGAGGCGTTGACAGTTTAGAGCTCTGTCGAAATGGGTTCTTTTAAGAAACATACCCTATTTCTTCCTGGTGGAGTATCATCAAGTAAGAATCTTAATCGATTTTTTAAAAATCTGGAGTCAGGGAGATACACCTAGGTTTGACTCTTTAAATTAAATCTACCTAAATTAAAAAAGAAATTTTATTTATGAGTTACTGTATCTGGAGCAGTAAATTAAGAATTTAAAAACGGGGGGGGGGGACAGAAAGGAAAGGGGAGAATAAATGTGCCTTATTACTTCTATTTTTTATTTAGTTAAATGAACTTTATCAGTATCTGTTCAGAGTGTTTAATGAACTGATATATGATCATTTTTGTTTTGCAAAGTTCAGGGAATAGTTTGATAGTGAAGTAAAAAAATGAGAGTCCCAATGGGAGTTCCTACCTACAGGAAATCATAAAGATCATAAATACAGAGAAAAAAACTGGTGGTTACCAGAGGGAAGAGGGGTGGGAAGATAGACAAAATGAGTGAAAGGTTTGAGGAGGTACAAACTTCCAATTATAAAATAAATAAGTCACAGAGATGAAAAGTACAGCATAGAGAATATAGCCAACAATACAGTAAGTGTAGTCAGTAATGTAGTGTACTGTGGTGAGGGTCGAGTAATGTACAGAATTGTGGAATCACTGTGTTCGTACACATGAAACTAATAAAACACTATATCAACATTACTTCAATAATAAAAAGTGAAAATTCCAAGAGAACTAATAAAACGTAAAGTAATTCTGATGGGGTATCAATAGACTCTGAAAAACCAGGCAGGACTTGGAAATCACTTCGTATAGTCATTACATTTTACAGCGAAGTAACAGGCCCAGAGACCTTATTAGTCACAAGTGATAAATTTAAACATAAGGTTAGTACTTTTGGCACTAATGATAAAATCTAATGCTACATTAGGATTGAATGCTGTTAAGCTTGTGAAATTAGAAAGAAATTAGTATCTTAAGGGAAGACTAATTCTGGAACTTCTCAGAATCCATTCCAGACAAAATCAAGTGATAGGACTTTAATTAAATTTCATTCTACAAATATTGATTAGGACATAAATATAAGTTAAATACAGACTCTATCCTTAAGCTTATAATCCTCTAAGGAAATAATTAGTGCTGAAATAAGACAATAGGTAGAACCAAAAAGCAACTAGAGAGAAATCTAATTTGGAAGTTCAAAAAGACTAATGAAAGAGATGACATCTGAGAAGAGCCTTGAAAGACTGATAAGATTTCAACAAATATAATTGGGAGCCTGAGAAATGGTATTTTTAAAAGATACTTACTAGTTATTTGCATTTTTAAAAATTGGTTAAGATTTAATAAGCTGTGCAACTCTTAAAACTGATAACTGGTTTATAAATTAATGTGGCAGCTTCACTAAATAAATGTCCCTTCCTTCAAGAAGCCTTCTCTAATCCTACAGGATTGGATTAATTATAACCCTCTTGTATATCACTGTATCTGGACAGAGTCCTGTCATAGCACACATCATGCTGTTGTTTCTAGTCACCTCCAATAGACAATAACCTTTCTGAGGTTAAGACATGAATCTCGTTCATTATTGAATCCCAATACCTGAAGACTGGCACAGACCAGGCATTCTATTCATATTTGTTGAATGGAGTGAATGACAGCCGAAATTTAGTTCCAGACAAGAAGCCAACTAAAAACTAGAGTTGTCTTTCAAGGAATGGGACTCCTTTTTAAAGCAGTGAATTTTCCCAAGCCTGAAATTATTAGAGTAGAAATAGGATAATTATTATAGATGTGTTAATAAAGATATCTGCACGGATGAGAGATTTATACAGGTATCCTTGGGGCTATTCCGTCCCTAAGAATGTCTAATTCTTTGAAGTAATTTATTAGAAACTAAAAGTTTTTATTTCTGCTTTACATCATCTATGTGTCTAGTTTATAAAAATCACAAATGTGCTGGTCTTTTTAATTATGATTTAAAAGCCTTAAGCATTTATCAGTCTTCATATAATACAATAGTATTGAAACCAATAGATTCAGAATAATATAACCATTGGCTTAGTAGAAGAAAACAACAAGAAGAAAAATAAAGTTTTAACCATTAAAAGTATAGATAACAAATTTCAGTGCTGATATTTAGAGAATGTAAAGACTACCAGTAAAACCAAAAAGTCTAGATGGGTTTATTGTGTATGTTTGCAAGACTTATCTATGCTGTTGACAAACAATTACTGTTTTGCTAATAATTTTTGTGTTTGTGTTTCCAGATCTTGATGGATAAAATAAAGCAGACATAATTCATCTCTAGAAAGATTATTTATACCCTGGCGTTTGAAATGTTTTATATTTAGTGTCATAGGAAAAATGGAAAAAGGGAAAGTAAATAGTGATGAAAAACCAGACCCAGAAAATTCCCTGGACTTTTCTGAACACTTTAACCAGCTTGAATTGTTGGAAACACATGGGCACCTTATTCCCACTGGTACCCAAAGTCTCTGGGTAGGGAATTCTGATGAAGACGAGGAACAAGATGAAAAAACTGAAGAGTGGTATCAATTGCAAGAAAAAAAGATGGAAAAAGATCCAAGCAAATTGCTTCTTTGGGCCGCAGAAAAAAATCGGGTAAAAAAAACAAACAACAATTAAAGAGGAAACCATAATATAATAAGAAAAGTACTGGATTCAGAGCCAGAAGACCTGTCCCTGAACCTCTGTCTGGTTTGTGACTTTGGGCAAATCCTACCATTCCTGAACCTCTATTTTCTTACCTATAAAAATGGCCATGATAATACCTTTATCTTTTATACAGGATTTGAGGATCAAATGAGGCAATGTCCATGAAAGGACATAGTAAGTCACAAAGCGTCCTTTTGGGTATTATTTGGGAGTTTAAGGGATAATTATACAGTTAGCAAGAAATCACCTATATTTTTTTTTAAGATTTTATTTATTGACAGAGGGAGATCACAAGTAGAGGGAGATCACAAGTAGACAGAGAGGCAGCAGAGAGAGAGAGAGGGGGAAGCAGGCTCCCTACTGAGCAGAGAGCCCGATGCAGGACTCGATCCCAGGACCCTGAGATCATGACCTGAGCCCAAGGCAGCGGCTTAACCCACTAAGCCACCCAGGTGCCCCGAAATCACCTATATTTTTAAAACATTTATATTAAGTCATTAAGATCGTCCTAGAGACAACTATCATTTAGAAGAGGGAGGATGGGAATTAACTTGTTTTGAATACCAACTATACCATGTGCTTTATTATATTATTTGACTTAATCCTCATCTATCCCCACAAGATAAGTAATATTCTTCCCTTTTACAGTTTAAGAAAATGGGATTCAGGAATATTAATTTGCCCAGTATTATGTAAGTAGTATCATCAAATGGATTCTTCCTGCTCAGCCACTTCTTCGTTTTACTAAGTTCTTCCATGTCGGTGGTAGCAAATTAATAACTAAAAAGTATTGCATTTTTGGATAACTTTTTCATCCAGGAGCACACTGTATCCCACCAGAGATCCAAAGACCAAACTGAAAATCACTTCCTGAAAACATGTTTCCAAGGTTGTTTTAGTAGGAAGGAATTGAGCTCCTTAATCTCTAGATTTCCTTGTTACCACTGTATTCTTCTGATAAATTTTTTGAAGCTTTATGCACTATGCATATTGGTACCATAATCCTACTGTAGAAAAATCAGTTATTAATGTTTTCACTAATGAAGTGTAAAATATCAAATACAATTATGGTCTGTGTTATTTCTCTAGGACGAAAGCTTAGATGCAGTGGGCCTTAACTGGACCAGGAGTAAATGTGTGATTGTCATACATCTGATACTGATACTTGGTTTTCAGAGAGAGTCACATTCTTAGAAGCAAGAGTGTGGTTAACACTAACATGTTTATTCTTAAATCTGTAGCCCTCTGTCCCCAAAATAAATCTTAAATCATTTTTATCTTAAAAGTCCTCTGCTAACAAGTTTTTGTGGAGCTCAAATAAATTTAACACCACTGGGCAGTTTAGTTTGCTTCATGTACTGTTTTGGTCACGCTGGGTTTTGAAAAGATCCTTTTCCTTCTCAGCTTACTACAGTGCGGAGACTACTGTCTGAAAAGGCCACCCATGTGAACACTAGAGACGAAGACGAATATACCCCTCTCCATCGAGCAGCCTACAGTGGACACTTAGATGTGGTACGCGAGCTGATTGCACAAG